CCAATTACCAAGGAAGAAAAACAGAATAAACAATGGGCGGATCACTTCAAAGGACTCTTAAACCGACCATCACCTGCAACCCGCCCAGAAATACCAACAACAGCGCGCACACAACTGCAAGTTGACACCAGTCCTCCAACGAGAGCTGAAGTCTTGAATGCAATCAAACTTCTGAAAGCTGGAAAAACAGCTGGACCAGATGGAATACCCCCTGAAGCACTGAAAGCAGACCCAGAGACGACAGCAGACATGCTGACTCCATTATTGCAAAAAGTCTGGAAGGAGGGAAAGGTGCCTACTGACTGGAGGAAAGATTACCTCGTGAAACTACCAAAGAAGGGCGACTTAGGACTCTGCAAGAACTGGCGAGGAATCATGCTCCTATCGACGCCAAGTAAAATCCTGAGTCACATCATCCTGGAGAGATTAAAGGACTCACTGGAAACAGAACTCCGACCAGAACAAGCTAGATTCAGGAAAGGCAAATCATGTTCTGAGCAAATTGCAACTCTACGCATCATCATCGAACACAGAATGGAATGGCAATCAAACCTCTACCTCAACTTCATACACTTCGAGAAGGCCTTCGACAGCGTTGTCCACGGAGTAATTTGGAAACTACTCGAGTACTATGGCGTACCCCAAATATTCATCAACCTTATTCAACAGCTGTACGATAACGGCACATGTTAAGTGATCCACAATGGAAAACTCAGCGAGGAGTTTGGAGTAAACACAGGAGTTAAACAAGGGTGCTTACTATCATCAATGATTTTGCTGATGAATTCACCATGTTTGCTGCTGCCAACTTCGACAACTCTCTATCCGTTATTACTGGAGACTTCAACACCTCAGATTGCTCCTTTCTTGAAGCTCTTGGTCACACAAACATAGTCAAATTTCCCACTCGACTTGACAAAACACTCGACTTAGTTTTTACTAATGACGAAGGAGTATATGAAACACGTAGACGTTCACCGATACTAACTCCGATCACTGCATTGTCCGCGTTTTGCCAAAAATATACAGCAAAACACATATTAAAATCTTCTCACACCTGTCTACGAAGCACAACAAAGAAGCTACACATCTGACAACTACTCAATCTAAGATGCATGTTAAAAAATACTAACTGGGATCTATTCTATGAAAGTACATTAGATGACTCAATCACCAATATAATGGATTATCTTAAGTTCTGCCTCGACATATGCTGTCCCAAACAAACACTGTTCAAACGCCTCGACCGCTTCTCGTCTCCCCATCTCAAACAACTTCGCAGGCAAAAAGAAATGTTATATAAATGCAAAGACAAGTTAGGACTTAAAAAGATTAATGCTCAAATCAAATCTGAAATCAAAAATCTTAATGCTATCTATAACCAAACACTTTTATCATGCAAATCTCCTATCAGCATGTGGAAATTTTTCAATGAAATTACTGGCAATAGTAAGCGATGTAATGTTTTTCCCTCTTGTGATGTTAATGCTCTTAATCTGTCTTTTATACGCTCTCCTTCTACTATAACCACTTCTAACGTTACTAATCTTGTAGCTGATAACTTCCAGGACTTTAACACTCTTGATGTTTTAAAATGTCTTAAAACTCTTAAGCCCTCACATAGTCTTGGCCCTGATGGCATACCTGCATATGTTCTAAAACAATGTGCAGATGCTTTATGTCTCCTCTAACTAATATCCTAAATGCTTCTTTCTCCGAAAACGTTGTACCTGTTCCATGGAAAGACATTAAAATAGTCCCTGTCCCTAAACCTGGCAATAGCAAGAACGTAAAGTTCAGACCCATTGCCATCACTTCCCCGTTTCTAAAGCTCATGGAAAAACTAGTACTTCTTAAACTCGAACCCTCCCTTAAAAGCTTCGAAGACCCCAAACAATTTGCCTACAGACAGGGTAGGAGTACTTTAGACGCTGCAGCCGTCTTACACAACAGTATTGTCTCATCATTAGACAAAGGTGCCAAATATGTCCGCTGCACGTTTCTTGACTTCACTTCTGCTTTCGACTCTGTACCTAGATGTCTCTTGCTAAATAAGCTCTCCATGACACAAACCGAGTCCTGGGTCACTAACTGGTTGCATTCCTACTTTTCAAACAGAATGCAGTACACCGTATACAAAGGCGAATCCTCCTCTGCTGTGCTCACTGAAGCTGGTGTCCCCCAAGGTGCTGTACTCTCCCCACTTCTTTTTTCATTCTTCCTACATGACCTACCATCTTCAAATGACATTAACTTTGTCAAATATGCTGATGACCTAACTGTATCTTTACCTGTCAAATGTCAAAGTGACTGCTCTAAACTAAATGGCTTCTTATCAGAAATCAGCCAATGGTCCAAGGAAAACGGTCTCACCTTAAACCCCTCCAAATGCCAAACAGTTAATTTCACCTTTAGGCACAAATCTGACCTAAACAAACTGGTTAGCACTCACGAGGTGTGCAACATAGATGGCACTGAAATTGAAACCAAGTCGGAAATTAAATACCTAGGCGTCACTCTATCTTCTGATCTTTCCTGGTCGTCTCATATCTTGACGATTTCCAAGAAAATATTCCGTCTTACCTTCTACATCAAGAAGTTAAGACATTCTGGTGTAACCCAACCCTTACTCCTACAATTTGTTAACTCCCGTATTCTGCCTATTATTCTCTATTGTTCCCCCTTAGTCTTTCCTGGGCTATTGAAGAAAGACTATACCTTATTACGTAGGATGTTAAAGGTTGTCAGCAGGGTAAGCAGTTTGCCACTTAGCCAGCTTGTTAATATTCTGGTGGACAGGCACATGGACTCATGTGAAAAATGGGCGAAATCCATTTTATCTGACTCACAACACCCTCTACATTCACAACTCTCCCCATGTATCTCTTCAGGGAAAACCAGAAGCCTATATAGGAAACTATATGCCCGCACTAGTAAGTACAAAAACTCATCCATACCCTACCTAGCTCGTGTTCTGTGCGATAAAGAAAGCATTAGGCGGGAAACCTTTAACTTATTAAATAGTCAGTAGAACAAAGGATCTCGTCTTTCCAACTCACATCATTTACAGGTACAACGTTTTCTCTCTACCTTTTTTTTGTTATGTGCTGTTTTGTTTCTCTCTTCCTTACAAACTCTACTTAAAACATTCTTGTTCGTTCTTTCACACTCTGTATATCTCGACCATTTTGCTATCGCTTACGCCAGTAAATATGCTAGTAGTATCTACTTTTCTAACACCTTCAAACACTCTGTTTAAATTTTGGCTTTGCTACCGACATGCTAATATGTTGTTGTCAAAACTGACTGAGATAACCTTAATCTATGTAGAACTATATTTATTGTTAATGTACTAACTGGATGCAATATTGTAGTAAAATGCTGAGAATTCCATTCTGTATCACATGTACTGATTTGGAATAAAGCTTACCTTATCTTATCGTAATGATATTCCTAATTGTGGTAGACTGGATTATGCGTCAATCAGTGGGAAACGAGAAGACAGGAATATCCTGGACAGATGTGAAGAACCTAGAAGACCTGGATTTCGCGCGTGGACGATTTATGTTTGATGTCACTGTCACAAAATCGAAGACTTATAAGCGAAAACCGACAAACTGGTCGAAGAAGCAGCAAAGACAGGACTCCAGGTGAACATAGACGAGACGGAGGTTATGAAAATAACCAACCAACAACAGCAGCAACATCCAGCCCCAATCACCATCAACGGGAGGGATTTGAAAGAGGTTACCTCATTCAATTATCCAGGGAGCATTGTCTCAACTAAAGGCTATCGGAACGGACGAGGATGTCACATCGAGCGAGAATCGGGAAGGCGAGAAATACATTCATCATCAACCTGAAACCAATCTGGAAAGCTTCGTCACTCTGTCAGTATCAACAAGAAAATTCGGTCTGATTTTCAATACAAACGCCAAGTCACTCAGTTCTTCTATACGGAATAGAAACTTGGCGGGCGGGAGACAAAGAATATTTCCAGCCAACGGGCTAACTCAGACCTTTATCAACAACAACTGACTTCACTTGCTCTATACTGAAGATCAGATGGCCAGAAAGAATCAACAACAAGAAACTGTGGGAACAAACAAAGCAAGAACCAATCGCCCAACAAATATGCGGGAGAAAGTGAAGATGGATCGGTTACTTACTGACGAGGCCGGTTGATGACAACACGCGTCAGGCCATTGCTTGAGTGGAACCTGAAATAGAAGCGGTGAGTGGGTCGTCGGTGCAAGGGTGACATGGAGGAGATCGTGTGAAGAGGAGTTGAAACAGTATGGACTAACATGGATGGATGCAGGTGAAAAGTACAGCAGAAGGAAGACAGAAGTGGCAAGTGGAGACGTGGAGTTGAAGCCCAATGTTCCACTAGGAACCCAAGGGAACAATAATAATAGCACTTTTCAATGTTACGTTACAAATGTCCTCGCTTGGCATTCCGAGGACTTTCTGTAGTCCTGCTTGATTCCCAACTTATTTTTCGTTCTAGTTGTGCGTCAATAATTTTTGATTTCTGTTGTTACCAGATGCAGAAGCATTTTGTACGCTTAACAAGACGTGTGTTTATCTGACAAATACTTGTGGGTAACTGTTCACGGTTCAAAACTTAGTGTATACTGAGGACCTTGTGGAAAGTCCTTGTAAAAATGTCCGGAATCCCTGTGTACTCTGCCAGCTGTTTGTGGTGTCGTAGTTCTTGTTTGGGACGGCATGCTAGGTAAAAATAGCTTTGTGTGCGCCTGTGACATAACGTTTAGGACACTCACCGACCATGTACATGGTCCCGGGTTCGATCCCCGACCGACTGACACCTGATATCAATGTTCGGCGTTCTAAATTTAGGCCACAGATATAACAGGCTGAAAATTCCATAGTTGTAACAAAAATACTATGTGGAATCAAGTTATAATAAAAAAGTAAAACAAAGTTGTGTCGGTCTTAGTTTTGTAGTGCTAATTGAACGCTTGGACTTTGAACTCACACACCCACTCGTTTGGCTATTCTGCATCTTTTGAATCTCTACACATTCGTTCTTTCATTCAGTGTACTCTTCGAGCCTACCGCCAACCAAGGTACCAGATAAGTTTTATAAACTCCTTATTTATCAAGTTTCATATCGCACATATATAAAATCTAACTGTCCGAGACACATCATATCAAGCCTTCTACTCCGGTTTCGTTCGTCAATTGCCCCGAAAAGTCTGCAATGCGCCCTAAGTCAGACAAAAAGTCTGCAATGCGCCCGAAAAAAATGCTAGCTGGGAATATTTACATGTTAGGTGGAGTACCGCTAAGGGCTAAAAACGGTGAAGTTTTTGTAAGAGAGTTCATTATTGAGGTCTACCTTAAGTCAGTACTACTCTTACAGTTCTTTCCATTACTCAAAGGTTTATGAAATTGCGTTTATAACGAATCACTTTGTGCATCACGTGCTACTTGTGGTGTGTCCAGAGGGCTGATGTCTCGTTTGTTTTTAATGATATTTATTCGTCTAATGGGAAAGCCAATTAGGACTATATGATGTCCATACTTATTCCTTGTAAATCACAGCATTGTTATTAAATCTCTGTCCAGAATATATTAGTGGGACAATACTTGCTACTTCTTGTCTGCCTTTGCATAATGAGTTGGTTAACCATCCTCACAGAACGAGTATACTAAGAATTTTGCATACGAATGTCCATCAATTAACTTCAGTTAGAGTTTCTACTAGACTTTGAGGAGGCATTTGACACAGTTCACCATGACCTTCTACTCAAAATAAGTGAGGTGGGTACATGTAAGCCACTTCTGTCATGGTTAAAGGACTACCTAGCTGACGGGCAATTTCGCACTAAAGTCAGTCGAGTCCGATCATCTTGGCATAGCTCGTCATCAGGACTGTCGCAGAGTTCTATCCTAGGACCACTGATGTTTTTGATTTTTCTCAGTGATTTACCATGCCATCTAAGTTACCTTACTCTTCTATACTCTGATGAGGTAAAGATATGGAGGGCGATAAAGTGTCCGGAGGATTCAAATAGGCTGCAGGCAGATCTAAAGCTTCTGGAAGACTGGGCGGTGGCCACTGGCATGACTTTCAACCTGAAAAAGTGCGAAGTAGTGAAATTACGCACCTGTAGACTGCAGAATGCAAGTGACACCCTGTGCAATGAAAGCTTGTCCTGCACAACGTCGGAGCACGACTTAGGTCTAGTTCTAACGGCGAAAAATGGACACAAGCGTAAATTACACGGGGGACGCAGCGAGGGTATATGGGGTCATACACTTTACACATAGACAGGTGCACTCACTCCTGAGCTCTTTCTAGGGTTGTAAAGACATGCGTCAGACCACACCTTGAAGTGCGTAATATCATTGCACCCGCACTGCTTAGAAGAGACGCCAACATGGATAGTTAATTAGCGAAGCTTTCATCACCTTACTAGGTGACATCTGAAGATGTCATAGAAAGTGAAGTGGTTGTCGAGCGTGTTGACCACTTCACTTATTTGGGAAGGTGTATCAGCCAACGTGAACGGGTCGGTCGCTGACGAAATCTCAGCACCGATACAGAAGGCTCGCTCGGCCTACTCCATCTTCGGCTAAGAAGACATGATATCCGGTTGTCGACCAAAACACGTGTACTGGTCAGCAGTCTTCTCCGTCCTACTTTATGGCTGTGAGACATGGCCATTGGAGGTAGAAAGCATCATAAAGCCAGCTACCTGTGTTCGATCATGCTTGTCTGCGTCCTATCTTCCGTGTTACGTGGCGGTATAATAAGAGTATTATTGAGGTTAGACATCGGTCGAGTGCTAGGCTCGGTAAGGGATGGGGGGGGGGAATCTATCGAAGAGGTGGTTGTGAAGCACCTGAGTCGATTGGGATTGTTAGGACATGTGTTATTTATGCCTAGCCATTGCCTTCCTCGAAAACGGGAAACTTTAGCTGACATAGTATTGGTGAGGTTGGAAAAGAGCTAGTGGTGGTCAAACCAAAACATGACGTCATCAGTCAATAAAACCCATAACAGTTAGTTTAAGCCAGCCAATCACGTAGGGGTGTGTAGACTACCTAACTGATTGAGATCCTCGGGACGGTGAAAACCAATGTCAGTCTCTGGAGACAATTGATGATATGGCTCAAAATCATCTTCATTCATGGTACAGGTGCATTAACTCTTTGTGATCCCTCATATCTATCGAGCTGTCATGTTTCTCCTTTAAATATCTGCTTGCTATAGTACTTATGAATGCATCTTTTTCCTTCGTTTGTGTTCTTGTTCTTGTGTGCTACATTGTGTGACCAGTTGAACTATTACACGTCTGTACAGAGTTGTCTGTTAGAACCAATCAATCAGTCAGTCTAGGTGTTATCTGTTTGAAGGCAGGTAGGGAATCTGCTCTAAGGTGTTGGCTTTTATTGAGTTCTATTCGTTCTTTCGCACTGACATTAGATAGTCATTTTCTAAGAACAATATTAAACGGGAACTTAATTGAGTATGTTAATCATTTGAGAGAACTTCTGTGGTTTCCTTCTTTTACATGACTTATGTGAGTATCCGTGAAACTATGCTGTCAGAGCTCTATAACCATATTGCTAATTATTGATTAGTATGTGAACAGTTTATGGCAAATTATGTCCCACACAAAGTTCGGCTCATTTGTTTTACTTCAAATAGACGAAGTCGAATACTTTACGACGATATAACATCTATAGATTATGAAAAAATAGTCAACCACCAGCACTTCTATGCTGTTAGCAATCAGCCAGTCATCTATTGTGTGAAGAGTATTGGTGCTGCCCACCTTACTGGTGAAAGGATGTTTGAACTTCTCCTAGACTCTCCAATGAGTTTACGCTCCCCTTTTTTACCCTCTGTACTTATTAGTGATGAATTCATTTGATGTGACGTTTGACGGTGTTATTCATTCCTGGCGTTCCTAGTGGGAAATGCGACTTCAGTGACGTTTATCTCCACCACACTCAGTGCTTTGCAATCACTCTCACTTGACTTCGGAACTGCCCAAAAGCTTTGATTCTCTTTCCTGTCCATGTCCTCTTCCTCGGAAGCCTAACCGATCGCTTGCTTTCCATTCTGGTTCCACCTGAGTGTATCTCATCACAGCGTATATCCAACCCACCTCCATTTCCTTCCGCTTATTTGTTGACCGACAGGTTCTTGGTTGGTTCATTCCCTAAGTTCCCTATTACTTATCCTTCCTCGCTTACCATCTGGTCTTCAGTTGCGAGCGAACTGGGCAAGTATTAATGAAAGCCTTCAGTAGACTGTTGAAAACGCCTCTTGTGACATATCAAGCTAACTCTCTTAAGGCATAAATAATCCCTGATTGACTTGACATTAAGTTTTAGAAATTCGAATGTTATGCCTTGTGATGAATACTGTAGATTCCCACAGTTATTTCAGTGTGCTGGATGCGATTGTCTTGCTTTCCTCATCCGTACAACCAACTGTTAGTTGTTCCTTTGTCAAAGTCCTCAATTAATAAGTTTATCTTTATGAGAATATGCAATATTTACTAATATCCAGTATATCTAATATTATTTCCTTTAGTTCCTGGAGGAGCATAGGGCTTCAGCCGTGCGTCTCCATTGCGTTCGGTTCTCTGCTAGAGTTTTCACCCCGCTCCTAGTCTGCCCACACGCTTTTATCCCCTCTTAACATGACCTCCTCCATGTCACCCTCACAATGACGACCAACTCGCCGCTTCCCTTTCGGGTTTTACTCGAGCGATGGCTTGTCTAGTGGTGTCACTTGATGGTTTGTTTCCTCATAGTATGGCCAATCCATCTCCATTTCTTCCTGCCTGTTTGTTGCACGATCGGTTCCTGGTTTGTTAGCTCATTGCCAGAGATGCGTGTTGCTGATCTTTTCTAGCCGGCCATCTGATCTTGAGTGTTGAGCGAAGATAGCTGTTAATGAAGGTCTGTAGTTTGCTTGAGGTGCTCTTCATGACGCGCCAAGTCTCTGATCCATATACTAGTAATTCCTGACTTCACATTTGAGTTGAAAATCCGGATCTTATATTTGATGCTGAGTGCTGTCGAATTCCACACAGAATTGAGAGTAATGAAAGCTTGTTTTGCTTTCCCGATTTTTGCTTTGATATCCTCGTCAGTTCCGTCCACCTGTAGTTGAAACGATGCTTCCCAGGTAGGTAAGGGAAGTTGCTTCTTTCAGATACCTCCCATTTATGCTGATTGTTATCTGCTGTGGCTGTTGGTGTTGGCCAGGAATCTTCATCAACTCTGTTTTCTCTATGTTCACCTTAAGGAAGTCCTATCTTCGATGCTTCTTCTGCCGGCTTGTTGCTTTCCACTTGCATATCTTCCAGTTTGTGTTAAATCAGACACATATCATCGGCAAAGTCCAGGTCCTCCAAGTTATTTTGTTAGTCCATTTTATGTCTGTTTCCTCATTGCCCGTTGTCTGTCTCATTATCCAATCTACTGCAGTCAGGAAGATCATTGGCGACAGTAGGCAACCTTGTCCCACTCCTGTCCTCACTTCGAAGGTTTCCGTAAGTTTCCCGTTGTGGATAACTTAACATGCGGCATTGTCGTACAATTGTTGGATGAGATGTATAATTGTTGGCGTCACCCCTTGGTAGTAGCGAAGTAGTTACCAAATCACCTCTGGATCGACGCTGTGCTATTGAAGGCCTTTTCAAAGTCGATGAAGTTGAGTGAGGTAGAGAGGCGACTGCCATTGCAAGCTGTGTTCAATGATGGTAAGTAGTGTGGCGATCTGATCAATACATGATTTGTTTCTCCTGAACCCTGCCTGTTCCGGTCGAAGTGTTTCATCCAGGACGGCGTGTTTTTAATTCTCCAGTATATATACACATATATCTTTTAACCCATGTAATATTACATTTTGATTTCCTTATAGACAATTAAAAATGGCCAAAACGTCTTTACCAGTTAAAATGGAGATTGATTTAACTACTCAAGTTGCTGAAGCCGCAAATATTGACCGAAACCTTGTCAGTCGTGTTATTCCAATGTTTGAAGATGGTTATACTGTACCATTTATTGCACGTTATCGTAAGGAAATCACTGGTGGTGTAGAACCGACAGTGTTGCATAGGCTGAAAGAAAAAATGAATGATTGCAAGTAAGTAACTATATGCATAAGGAAAACTATGTACTACTGATTGACTGAGATGAGTAATTTGTATACATATCACTCAAACTAAATAGTAATGCTTGCTAGCTCATCAACGACGTGTACCCCATTTGAGTTTGTTCAAACTATACCCGATTTCTGGCTATAGCTACTTGGACCAACTGGTGATACCATGACTAACTAATTTGTAGATTATGAATTTCACTTATGTAGATTATAATTTTTAGTTTTGATTATACAGATCGATATCAATATTAAAGAACCATTGTAAACCACCAGAGAGTACTGTGAATAGCCAGCTGTTGTTCCGCTTGAGTACTTGGACCTCTTCATCTGTACCCAGGAATCGAACTTGAGGAGCTTTAGGTTACGAGGTAAGCTCACCGACCGAAACTTGACAATGAATCTTATGCTCACTACCAACTGACAACTATGGGACTACGTTGCCTGGAGTCCTGGTGGGAAGTCGTAACCAGCACGGGTTCTACCAAGTAGGGTGTGATGACATTAACTAACTGATATGTGTCCACATATATATTTATTTGTGTGTGTGTGTGTGTATGTTGGTCTCTCTTTCTATTTGCTCGCTTAGTCTGTGACCATTTCACTTGTATGAACCTGTCTCCTTTAACAATGTATATTCCCCTTATATTATATATATATTGAGTGTTTGTTGACAGTCCGTTGCTTAGTGACATATATCCATATATGGTGGTTGTTGACATGTCTGCTATATTTTGCTATATATATATTTCGTTCTCACAATTTGTGTGACTTACTGACTTACACTGACCACTTACTTTGGTGTGCGTCGGTGGCACAGTGGTTAGGACTCTCGCCGACCATGCATATGGTCCGGGATTCGAGTCCACGCCGACGCACACCTGATATCTATGGTCGGCCTGCGAAATTTGGGCTACCGATATCCATGCTGAAAATTCCATACTTGTACCAAAAATACAGTGTGGAATCAAGCTGTAATCAAAAATAAAAAAAAATATTGCTTCTCCTTGTGTTTGGAAAATAGAAGTATCATCGTAAACCTAGTGGTCTTCTGATTTCCGCCTTCTTGCGTCAGGACTATTAGTTTCTCGACCAGTCCGTAACAATAATTTAGCGACGAGTACATAACACTAACGGTGGCCCTAAAAATTGCTATTTGATTCCATCCCAAATGCGTTGTAACGCGAAGGTTGTGGGTTCTCGAATCCCAATTAAGGTGGTCATGGGTCTTACGAGCATGGACGGAAGAACTATCTGTCTTGTACTCCTTGATGGTTTTCAAGGGTTCTTTAATCGTTATCAATGTTTAATAATAAAAAATCCGTACAAACTAACACTTAAAAGTTATACTTCTCTCCTTTACCTTTAGAATGTTGATTGACAAAATAGAAAAGTCGATGGAACTCTTCAATAAAAGTGGTCTACTTACCGATGAATTATCACAACAGTTAATGCGATGTAAAACCGCTGAAGATATAAAACTGCTAGTAAGTTTTATTTTTTACAATATAAATTTTAGTCGTACCAATTTATTTTCCCGGTTTTCAGTTTTTGTTTTATTGTTTTCTTCTTTTGTAGACAGATCCATTGAAGCCTAAAGGTCCACGTACATTGGCTGGTAAAGCAAAAGCTGCCGACTTAGAGCCTATTGCTCTTGATATCCTCTATTCTTATAAATTTGTTGATATTTACAGTCGAGCTTCTTCAGAAGCTAAAAGTAAGTGGATTTTAACGTATAATTTTGAGTCTTTTCACAAAGCTTTAATTATCAGTATTATTTCTATTCATTTGGCTTCTTAGTGGAAAATAAGGCTTCAACGACACATCCCGACTTCATCCTGTTCTCCTCAATCCTCTTTAGCCGGCTGTAATCTTACCTGCGCTCTCTCATCGCCTCACACCATCTCCTCTATGTAACTCTCGGACTCATCCCCAACTCGTTGTTTGCCATTCGAGTTCTACTCATAGCTGTGCATGTTGCGCGATATCATTCGACGGTCTCCTCAGCGTATGATTAATCTGTCTCCTTTTTATTCTGTATATTTGTTGAGCGATAAATTCTTGATTGATTCGTCCCCAGAGTACCATGTTGCTTATTCTTTCTGACTGGTCACCTCATCATCAGTATAGAGCCAGCAAAAGCAGCTGTTGGTAAAAACGTTTCGTGACGCATTAAATTTCTCACCCAGAACTGACTTAACATTTGTGCTGAAAATTCAAAGCTTGTTCTTAATGATACTGAGTGAGTGAGTGCAGAAGATTTCCGAACTGATTTCATGGTGGTGAAGATCTGTCCTGCCCCTTTCCAATCCTGACTGGCTTTTTGATATACACCTCCTTGGCTGTCAGTATGTAATTGAGACGGTGCTTCCTAAATAAGATAAGCAAAATAAGTGACCTCTTTCTAATTTCTCACGTAGATAATGACTGGTCCTGGTTGTTGGTGTTTTTGATTGGTTATCTGCATCACCTCCGTCTTCTCTCTATGTTCACTTGAAGTCCTGTCTTTGCACTGCTTTTTCAGCCAACTTGTTGGTTTTCGTCTGCCTGTAAGTCTTCGAATTTATGTGACACATTAGACATGAATTGTCTAGAATTTCCAGATCTCCTAGAGTCTTATTATCGGTCCAATGTATTACTGTCTTGTCGCCCCTCCCCCTTCTCACGGTGAGCCGCATAATCTACTCCAGCACAATTAGGAGTATCATTATTGATATTATGGAGGTAGGTTTGTCTTACTCCTGTATTCACTTCAAACACCTCGCTGAGTTTCCCCTTGTGGATAGCTAGGCACGTTCCATTGTCATGTAGCTAGATGACAACTGTTTAAAACCAGTCACATGCGACCCGCATAAGACTTTCACAGAAGCATTACTGCTGGTTAGTTACAGTTCAGAATAATTCTTAAAAATAAGAAGCAAGTCGATTTGGTTCTCCAAATACTCATGATGAACACGTTAGTGTATCACAACGACGCCAGTAAACAGTACAGTCGGAAGTTTTGAACCTGAATAGAGTGTAAGCAATTTACTTATTAGTTATCTAATAGGTATGTGGCTTGCAGCCTCTAGTATTTGAGAAGTTTGTTCCTAAATACCGGATAAAGTTTTGTCTTTTGGAACTCGGTGGAGGCTTAGATTAGTGGGAACGTCAAAATTCAATGACTGATTAACAGGCAGGCAAATCCAGCTGACGACGCATAGCTTGTTAAATGTGAAATACACTCTGAATTCCAATGGTAGCTATCAGCTGTCAGAGAAATAACAATACCACTAGGAATAGGTGACGGTAAGGATCATTGTGAGAATGTATTCACAGAAGATAACTGATTGGATTGACTGGTTTCAACGTAGAACTTTGCAGAGATGTATACCAGTCCGAGTTGTCACACTCCATGTAGTACACAAAGCAAGAGAAGGAGATTACAAAGAGATTCAAAAGAGAGATAATAAACAGAAGTGTGAGGAATAAAGAATAGTAATACGGAAAAATGCTAGAGTTTTATTGGATGCGATAAATCACAAAGAGTGAATGCCTCTGCTCCATCAATGAGGATGATTTTGAGACATATCACCAATTGTCTCCAGCCTTCATTGGTTTTTACCATCCTGATGACTCCAACCAGTCAGGAAGTCTACACTTACCAGTGTGACTGACCGACATAAACTAAATGTTTTTGATTTTATGGACTGATGAAGTTATGTTTTGGTTTGACCACCAGTAGCTCTTTTCCAACCTCACCAATGCTATGTCAGCTTAAGTTTCCCGTTGTCGAGGAAGGCGATGACTAGGCATAAATAACACATCTCCTAACCATATCAGTCGATGCAGATGCTTCACAATCACCTAGTCGATTGATTTCTTCACCTCACCTAGCCTAGCACTTGACCGATGTCTAACGTCAACAATACTCAATTTATTATACCACCACGTAACAAGCGAGATAGGACGCAGACAAGCATGATCGAACACAAGTAGCTGGCTTTATGATGCCTTCTACTTTCAATGGCCATGTCTCACAGCCATAAAGGAGGACGAAGCAGATTGCTGAGCAGCATTTATGCGCTTTTATCAATCGCCAGGCGGATATCGTTTCTACTAAGCCAGAGATGCTGTAAAGTGGTGTATACGAAACAAGCCTTCTGTATCGGTGCTGAGATTTCGTCAGCGATCAACCCTCCGGCGCTAGCTAATGCAACTTCCTAAATAAGTGAAGTGGTCAACACGCTCAACAGCCACTTCACTTCCTATCTTTAAGCTAGAAGTCAATGTAGTCCAGTCCTGCAGCATCATCTTACATTTTATGGGAGCGAATCGCATGTCAGACATTCGAAGATCGCTGCTCTTCAAGGTGTTCAGAAGACTCCGGTCTCCATCATCATCTTCACCTAGAAGGAGGACTAAATCATCTGCATATTCTAAGTCAAAGAGATTATTCTCTGATTATAGCGGGTCAGTTCCTGAGTCGCTGAAGTCGGCGGTTAGAGTTAATTCCACTAATACATTTATGATGAAATTAAACCGAAATGTGGAGATTCGTGGGCATCTTTGAGGGACACCATTAGTTGTCATCACTTCAGATGACAACTCCCCGTATTTTCTCATCTGGCTGTCTGTATGAGTGCGAGTAGAGTGCCTTGTTCAGTGAGTGAAATGTATTTTCTCGGTATTCGCTTCACAGTCAGGCATTGGTGTGTTGCCTCTCTGTCTACGGAACCGAATGGCGCTTTCAGGTCAAGAATTGTGATGATTGTTAGATTGGATATCGGTAATTATACGTATATTTCAGAATCTGTCGAAGGGTAAAGATAAGGTCATTGCACCCTCTTCGTGGTTTACAGGTTATAGAGCTATAGGTGAAGTGGATGAATAGGCAGGCTAAGAAAACCGTGAGAAGCTTTAATAGCAGCGGGAAATTAAAGGCAAATTAAGCTTTTCTTTTGAATATACAGTGAACAGAGTTGTTTCCTCTAATTGCCGTCACTTTCAACTGTGTCTAAAAAATGAGTTTGAGCTGCAATAAAAAATTTCTGTGGAAGGTAATAAATAATTGTAAAAGAATTTATCGTGCCCTGCTATTATCATACCGTGTTAAGGTGAAGCGAAAGTTCTTGGAAGAGATTGGTTGGACAGTAGCTCTATTTTGTGAATTGATTGGGTCATTGTTTTCCGGGCTAATTGGGCTTGTAACCTGAAGGTTCCGTGGGTCGTGCGTGCACGCCATTGAAGAATTCCAGTAACTAGGACGAAACAACGATGTTCAGTACTCCCCCTCCCTAGTCTTCAGTGATCCCTTTCTATAACTGATGTTAGTGCGTGACGGAAATTTAGCAATTGAAATTCATCGGAATCCCTCAAAAAAAAATAAACTCGTAATCTACATACGTACAGTTCTATTATATAATTACTGTATGTTATTCTGCTAGTAGTTACATTGTTCTTTTTTGTGTGTTTATCACTGTAGAGACATTCCAGTCGAAATCAGCACTTGAAGATGCTGTACGTCATATAATTGCTGATATATTTGCTAAAGATTTAGATATAATACGGAAAGCTGAAGAATTGTAAGTTGTTTTTTTTTATTTTGATCATATTTATTAAAATATTCTAAGAAAATATTTTTGAAATACTCATAGATTCTTTGGTTGGACACTAGGTAGTTGGTATCTAGTGTTGTACGTGTCTAGTCCTTTGTTTGGTGAAGACTGAAGTTTACAATGTGGTTACCAACAAGCCTAGGTTGTTCGTCATCATGGTTCACTCTGGATTGTTGTTATCTCAGAAGGGATATGAGTTTTCCTTCAAGATTGTAGGTACACCTTGTGGGCGGGTGCTAACAATCGTGAAACCCAGGTCCGACGATTCCTGCCGATTGCCTTCAACTATCTAATAACAACTACTATACTCATGGATTATTTATATAATTGCATCTTTTGTAATGGTTGGCTAGGTAACATTTTGAGCAAAATTACTGCCCGTGATCACACCAACTACTGGAATTGTTTCTTTTTAGAAATTCCTAAATATGTGTAGTAATTTTGGTGAATGGTGACTAGCTCTGGTAGAATCCAAGATGCACATTTCGTCCTAACTGTGGAGCTTGTCATCTGTAGGTTCCTGCTTCCCCCAGTGAGTAAGCAAGGGTTGTTCCCGCTGAAACTTGAACCCAATATCCATTGTTTCAAACGGCGAAGCGTTACCAGACCGCATAGGCCATGGGAGCCAGTCTGGTGGATAACGATTTGACGTTTGAAAAGATGGGCAATGGGTTTGAGTCCTGTTGGGAAAACCATCACTCACGGGGGAATGTAAGTGCATCCAGGTGACGAGTCCCATCGGGTTGGTGTAAGTCACTGATTATCCCCATATACAAGAAGGGAGACAAGTCTTCCTATGATAATCACAGAGGGATTAGCTTGACTAATATAGTATCTAAAGTCTTAGGCTCAATAATCATGCGTAGACTGAGTGGTGCTCGGGAGGCACAAACACGTGAGAGCCAGGCAGGCTTTAGACCAGGAAGAGGGTGTATTGATCATATCTTCACCCTCCGACAGATTCTAGAACATAGGCATTCCTACCGGCGTCCAACAGTCATTATATTTCTTGACCTAAAGGCAGCATTCGACTCTGTCGATCGAGAAGTTCTCTGGAGATGCTTGGCTGTAAAGGGAATCCCGAGAAAATATATTGCACTGATTAAGGCACTCTACTCGTACTCATACAGCCAGGTGAGGGCTTACGGCGAGCTGTCATCTGAACTGATGACGACCAGTGGTGTCCGTCGAGGATGCCCATTATCTCCTTTTATATTCAACTTCATCATAGATGTGTTAATGGACTTAACCCTAGGTGACTTCAGCGACTCAGGGATTGACTTGCTACCGGGGAATAATCTCGTTGACTTGGAATATGCAGACGATATAGTCCTTCTAGGCGAAGACGCTGACGAAATGCAGAGTCTTCCAAACACCTTGAGCCGCAATCTACGAATGTTTGGCATGCGATTCGCTCCCGCCAAATGCAAGATGATGTTACAGGACTGGACTACATCGACGCCTAGTTTAAAAATAGGAAGTGAAGTGGTAGAGCACGTTGACCGCTTCACTTATTTGGGAAGTACCATCAGCCCCAACGGGCTGATCTCTGACGAAATCTCCGCACGAATACAAGGGGCTCGTTTCGCATTTGTTAGTTTACGCCGACTCTGGCGTATACGAGATGTTCGACTATCGACCAAAGGGCGGGTGTACTGCTCATCAGTCCGTTCCGTCCTCCTTTATGGTTGTGAGACCTGGCCACTGAGAGTGGAAGACATGAAAAGACTAGCTGTCTTTGATCATAGGTGCCTGCGTTCTATTTCCCGTGTAAAGTGGCATAATAAGGTGAGCAACATGGAGGTTAGGCGTCGAGTTCTAGGTAAACAGGGGAAATCAATCGACGAAGTCGTGAAGCTACATCGACTGAGATGGTTAGGACATGTGTTACGTATGCCAAGCCATCGCCTCCCTCGACGAGCTATGTTAGCGGATATAGGGTCAGGCTGGAAAAAAGCTAGCGGCGGTCAAACAAAAACTTGGCATCAGTCAATGAAATCCACAACAGTTGGTCTAAGCCACGTAGAAAGGTGTAGACTTCCAGGCTGGGGTCCTCGGGACGGTAAAAATCAATGGTTGGAAACAATTGGTGACATGGCTCAAAATCGTTCTCAGTGGCGCAGATGCATCCACTCCCTGTGACTTATGATCTTCAATGAAACTGTTTCGTATTTCTTTATTACTCCTTTGTCTCACACCTCTGCTCAATGTCTCTATTATGCTTTTCTTGTACTTTCTTCTCTTGCTTCGCGTGCTACACGGAATGTGGCGACTTGAACTGCCACACATTTGTGCAAAGTTCTATGTCGAAAACAGACAGACAGACAGACCTTGACCCCTTAGAGGGATTAACATTTATTTCTTTTTCATTTTTGTTTATTTAGTTAATTTATGTACCTCTCACTCATTACTATGACTACTGTTAGTACTATTCTTTTTCAAGTTAGACCACGGATTGATATCGGTTAGAGGGCCATTGAAAAACAGGGAGTACTGGATAGCTGTTGCATCCTAGTTTGGGACTCATCGACAGTATGTACCCACTGGGTTTCGAACCCAGCATCTTAATGTCACAAGGCAACCTCGTGGACCACTCAGTCTCTGAGATCCGATTCAATCGCCAGTGAATGTTAACTTCTACTAGTTTGTGATTTTAGCGCGACCACCAGCGGCCAATGTGATTGGCGAATATTTCTCCTCACTGTCGATCAGATTTGAAGAAGTTAGAATTCATGGGCCATTGAGTCGGGTTCCAGTGCCTTAGTGGTCTACGAGCTTGCGTCGTAACCGGAGACAGTGGGTTCATACCCTGGTGGATGCGTACTGACGATGAGTCCGAAACTAAGGGGACAAAGCAGCTGTCCAGTACTCCTTGTTGGTTCGCAATGGTTCTCTAACTGATATCAGTCCATAGTCAGACTTTAGACAAATCAAATTCTTACTCCAGCTGTTGGTGTGATCACTGGTGGCAGTTTTGATCGAAATATTACTGAAATCAAGGAAACAACAACTTGTGATTCTATGTAAACAATCACTGATCTCTTCCACAATACACTTTTCACAGATATTATGAAATATACTCATTGTCTCTTGAGTTCCATTTCAGGTCTCTAAAGACATATCCATATTAGAGACAGGCTCCAATAAATCTAAGTGAAGTGCTTTTATTTTCATATTTTCGTAAACATTGTTCCGGATATTCTAGACTGCAGACTCCAAAGGACTACTTCTTGAAGGTGGTCATACACAGTCTGTTTGGAATTGTGTCCGTATTGAATTCTTGTCGCCAGGGTCAGACCGCCGCAAGGTAAATATGAGATGTACAATTTTCCGGGTCTACCCATTCTAAGTCGGCCACTCCTATCCAGAGCGGGAAGAGAGAGGAACGCCTTACTGTTGTTACAGCCGCCTATTCGACATTAGTATGACTTCGCTCACGGATCCCAAACTTAGTGTAAACTACTTACACTATAGTGGCAAGTGCTTGTAGTCTAATCGTTATCCGGATAATGCTCAGGATCTAATCCCATATTAACTAACACTACTTCTTATGGTAGGTGGTGGCTCGGTATGCGTAACACGTGCCTTAGCTATTTCAATCCATTTAGCTTCTAACCTCAACGTTACTCTTACCTTGTTTTACCACTAAACTCATAAGATAGGGTGCAAACAGACTGCGGTGAAAATCACCACTGGTCGTCATCTGTTATGTTCTAGTTTCCCCGTCGCCAAATTGTTATGTACTCGTCGCTGAATTATTGTTATGGACTGGTCGAGAAACAAATAGTCCTGACGCGAGAAGGCGGAAATCAGAAGACCACTAGGTTTGCGATGATACTTCTATTGTCCAAACACAAGGAGACGAAAATAAATGGTCTCACACCAAAGTGGTAAGTAAGTAAAGTAGTTGTAAAGTAAAGTAGTTCACACAAATTGTAAATGCGAATATATATAATAATAATTCAGACAGCGTGGGAAAAATAATTAGACAGTCTTAACATGAATGGCTAATTATAATGGAGTGTCGATCCAATTATACATAGCGAATATAGCAGACATGCCAACAAACATATATGGATATATGTCACCAAGCAACGGACTGTCAACAAACACTCATATTATATATAATATAATATAAGGAGAATATACATTATTAAGGAGACAAGTCCATACAAGTGAAGTGGTCACAGACTAACCGAGCAAATAGAAAGAGAGACCAACATGCACACACACACATAAATATATATATATATATATGGATACATATCATCATCACTTTTAGATCTTACACGGCTGAGTGAGTTCAGGTACAATGTGTTTGCTAAGTGTGTTATACATTCTTGGCACTCCTTTCATGATTAAGCACTGGCACGGCACTTTTCGGTCGATAGAGTTCAAATACTGCCCTCAGGTCAAGTAATATAGACGCCAGTAATTAGTATACCTATACTTCAGTATCTATTGACTGTTGAAAATATCATCTTCCTAGTACAAGAGCTTGATTGATTGATTTTCCCGCAGTTTTTTTCTCCCGAGCACCGTTTACTTTTTATGATTGAAAACACGAACCTGGTGCACACCATGTGCAGCATGAGATGTACCACAGGATACCTCAGTTTATATGACATCTGGGATACTACTTGGTGAGCTCAGGTGGTTATCTTTAGGCACCACTCCCCGTCCAGAGCCTTTGTATTGAAGTCTTATCCACAAGGGAGTGGAGCATAAAGTTTCTGTGGTCACCAAAACATGTTCCTACACCTTTCAATCCTTTTGCATTCTAGAGTCCTTGTACACAGTATAGGTTTAGAATCAGGGTTTCTCACCCCACCCCTACTTATCCCGAGGTAGACCCTTGTATATCCAATAGCCAGTCCAGTTGTAAGCACCAGAGGTTTGCTTTGGCCCTTTCACGTTTGTGAGAAACATTCCCACTGTAGGGCGTGGAGGCCAGTGAAGGGGATTTACCCGTCAGAAGTTATGAATACATCCGCACATGACAGAATTTTGAAAGGTAGTTTATAGTGGCAGGTCATTTATTGGGGCTTGCCAATATCCACTCAGTCACGTGAGCACCACTTAGTCTAAACCATGTATTATTTCATATTGAGTTAATGTGTGTGTGTGTGTGAGTTAAACCCTTTTCCTTTTATCCTGTGCTATTCATTTCCGTGTATACATTTTCTGTCATTAGATGTTCAAGGTATCCTGCAACACTTATAACCTCACAAAAGTTGAAACGTGATAAACAGGCACCTGGTAAATCATCCTCTTATCCACAGCCTATGCTTATTGATACAGACGGAGAGAATAATATTAATAATAACAACAAGGATTTTATTGACGGTGATGATGAGTGTTCATTGAATGGTCAAAATTCATCAATGAATCCTAACAACAATAATAATCATAAACCTAAAGATGATTTAATTACATTTAAAAATTATCTAAATTTTTCTCGTTCAGTTTCATCTATTCTAGCACATCAAGTGAGTTGTGAATAAATAACTTTCCTTATGCCCCCTTTGCATAACCCATCACACCTATTATTATGTATTATTATTATTATTATTACTACTACTACTACTACTACTATTCTCTTGGGCTCCAAGTGGAACATATAGCTTCAAAAGCACGTGTTGCTGATTTTGTCGTGTTCTGTGTAGGCCACTTTAACTGTCTCCACGATTGTCGATAAGCTTTCATCCCCCTGTCTCACACAATCATGGCCAAATCATCATCATCTCTTCAACATGTGTCCGATCCATCCATGTTGAATCGTTTTATGTTGGCTAATAGGTTCTTAATTGGTTCGTTCTCAGAGTTCCTTGTTGCCGACTAACTGATTCTGGTTTCACCACGGAAACTTGCATAGATGTGCAGCAGTTCAGCTGGTCAAACTCTCCATCTAGCACACAAAGCAAGAGAAGGAGAGTAATGAGACATTCGAAAAAGAGAGATGATAAACAGAAATATGAGGCGAAAAGAATTGCAATGTGGAAAAACAGTAGAGTTTTATTGGATGTGATAATTCACAAAGAGTGAATGCATCTGTGGCATTCATTGACAACGATTCTGAGCCTTATCAGCAATTGTCTTAAGCCTTCATTGGCTGTATACCATCCCGAAGACCCCAACCAGGCAACAGTTTACATCTCCCCACGTCGCCGACTGGCATAAACTAACTGTTATGGATTTCATTGACTGATGAAGTCATGTTGTGGTTTGACCACCACTAGCTGGATAGCTAGCTCTTTTCCCACCTCACCGATCCTACGTCAGCTGAAGTTGCCCGTTGTTGAGGAAGGCGATGGATGACTAGGCATGCATGCATGCGTAACACATGTTTCAACCATTTTGAATCAGTGTAACTTCACAACCTCGCTGTTCCTTGTTGCTAATCCTTTCTCACCGGCCGTCTGGTCTTCAGTATGGAGCTAAAGGAACAGTTATTGATGAAAGTCTGAACCAGTGTGATAGAAATGATTTTTGTGATTTTGCGTGCGTCAAGTTTCTGATCCGCTATGGGAAGAGCTGACTCACTTAATGCGCTTGGTGTTGAAGATCTGAATTTTATTTTTGATGCTGGTGCTAAATGAAGATTTCCAGATTGACTTCAGGGCTGTGAAGGTGTACCCCGCCTTTCCAATTCTGGTTTTTGGCATCATGCTTAACGCCCGCCTGTAGAATTGAAAGGGAGTGTTGTCCTAGTTGGTTAGCTATGCTCATCATCTCTGTTTTCTCTATGTCCACTTGAAGTCCTGTTTTTGCTGCTTCTTCTGTCTACAGAGTTAGAAATCATTAAACCCGTTGAGTGTATATACCTCACTAGGCTCTGTAGGACAGGAATCTGTGACTTGTCGTTTCGAGATGTAGTTTATTGGTTTATGGCTTTCAGCTTAAAGCTATTACATCCTGGGTACTAGCCTCACCTGAATCATTGAGTCAGTGTCATTGGGCCTCACACCTTGCATGTGATGACTCATAGCTTTCTACATGGAATTAATCTATTAGGAGTCACTGGTTTTAAACAGCAACAACAATAACAACACCAAGAGCGCTCAGTAGTTGGAAATTGAGCGCTGTATCCATACGTTTGTTTGACTTCTATAATCGGAATATCAGTGTAGTGCCTTGTTGCTTCTCTAGGGGGTCTGTTTCTTGCATCCTTTTCTGTTTGAATTTCCTTTAATCTTCTTTTTATTATGTTTGAAAGTGATCGGTTGCTAATCAGACTAATATTTATACAGTTCAAATGTAGCTAGAGAGAGAGAGAGAGGGGCGGAGGCCGTTCCTAAGGTCAGTGATCAGCCTAATGAAGTATCCTGCTTTAAGAATTGTAGTAGTAGCATAAATTCCACTAGGACTATTAGCTTCTAAGAGGATTAATTTAAACCCCAGTGGGTGCATACTGATGAAGAGTCCCAAACTAGAATGAAAGAATTGTCCGGTACTCCCGGTTGGTTTTCAATGGTTCCCTTACCGATGTCAGCTCACGGTATCAACTAAATAAACTACAAACTAATACTTGAATACCGTTGAGACGCTCACTGGTGACTGGCCCTATTTAGGTAGGTAGTTACCTGGGGTTCTAGTGGGAAGTCGTGACCAGTAGGGTGCATCAAGTCTGATGTGAGGACAAATACTCGCCAGCGATGACATTGATTAGCAGTTGCGCTATGTCGTGAATTGGCAGAAGTTGAAATTCGTGGGCTGACCATTGGATTGGGTCCCAGTGGCTTAACGATCTACGAGCCTACTATCCTTGTAACCAGAAGGTCCTGGGTTCGAACCCCTGTGGTGGGTGCGTACTGATGGAGAGTCCCAGACTAGGGTGAAACAGCTGTCCAGTACTCCCTGCAGGTTTTCTAATGGTTCTCTAACCGATATCAACTCATGATGAAATTCTGTAACCAATCAATCAATAAACCTACAAATCAATACTTAAACTATTTCAATTCAATCGGAGATGACGTACAGAGTTTCACCATGCAAATTTGCACAGAAGTCCAACAGTTCTCCTTGCCACACTCCGCGTAGGAATATAAGAGACAAAAATGAGATTCAGAAGAACGCCGATAAACAGAAATATGGAGGAGGAGGAATAGTAGGATGGAAAAACAGTAGGGAGATATATCACAAGGAGTGAATTCATCTGCGCCATCGATGAGGACGGTTTTGAGCCATATCATCGATATTCCCCAGCCATTGATTCTTAGAATCCTGAGGATCCAAGCCAAGCAGTCTACGCCTCTCCACACGTGGCTCAGAATCAGACTAACTGAAGTCAGTTTGCGGTCAGTACTTTGTGTCAGTTAGTAAGCAATCGTAACACTTGCGCTTACTCTTCGTACTAAACTATTCGGTCTTGTTTTGCTCCCAATTCCACCGCTATTTTTTCCAGGTGTTAGCTATTAATCGTGCAAGTGAAAGAGGCGTAATCACTGTAAAGGTTAATTTATCCCCTCAAGTCCAACAACAATGTAGAACATTTGTATCTCAGAAATACTTATCCACTGTGAATCGTGGTCATTGGGATTATGTTCTGCAAGCGTTTGATGATGCATGGAAACGTTTGATTGATCCACATTTAGTGCGTAGTATTCGGTAAGAAGATGGCGTAGTTTTATATTACTAAATAATATTTATTAATTTGACTTTTTTTCGCTTAAATCCGCGTTTTATTCTTATTTTTGAAGTTTTATGTTGTTTTCTTTTTACCACTGGAGTATGAGAAAGAGAGAGAGGGAGAGATTGTACAGGCTATTTGTGATGTTGGTCACCTGTTTGGTGACAAAGGTGACAAGGGAGCCATGATCCTCCATTTCGCTGAGTCAATAGAATCGTCAACATGCTTCAGTTGTCCATCAGTGTGTTGGATGATTTATACTGAATTCTAATGAAGTCGAACTTGTCATCTTCTTGAACTTCGTTCTCAGTGGCTTTTCTGTCTGTCTGGATTCAACATAGAACTTGGCACTGAAGTGCAGCAGTTCGAGTTGCCACGTTCCAAATAACACACAAAGGTAGACAAGAAGATGAGTGAAGAGAATCAATAGAGTTTGACAAGTATAAGATTGAAACAGAATGGATAATGATAGAAAGGAATATGAAAGATTACAGAGACTGAATACATCTGTGCCAGTGACAACGATTTTGAGCCATGTCATCCATTGTCTCCAGCCATTGATTCCTAGATTCCCGAGGGCCCTAACCCGGGAGTCTGCATCTCCCTACCTGACTCAGTTTAACTGCCAAGGATTTCATGGATTGATGCCATGTTTTTGTTTGGCCACCACTTACTCTTTTCCAACCTGCACCTATATCGGCTAGTAATGCCCGTCGGGGGAGGCGATGGTTAGGCATGCGCAGAAAGTGACCTAGCCATCTCAACCCAGCCTGGTCGATTGATTTTCCCTCTTTGCCCAACACTCTACGCCTAACGTCAACATTACTTACCTTGTGAAACCACCTAACGTGAGACAGAGATCGCAGACATCTATGATCGAAAGCAGTCAACCTTTTCATGTCTTCAACGCGTATTGGCCATGTTTCAGAGCCATAGAGAAGGACGGAGCGAACTGGTGAGCAGTACACACGTCCCTTGGTTGATAGCCAGCCGGATGTCACGCCTACGCCAGAGATGATGCAAGCTAGCGGAAGTAGCTCGAGCTTTTTGGATCCATGCTGAGATTTCATCGCCAATCAGTCCGTTGGTGCTGATACAACTTCTCAAATAGGTGAAGTGGTCAACACGTTCTATCACTTCACTCCTTATCACTAAGCTAGGAGTTGACGTAGTCCAGTCCTGTAGCAGCATCTTACATTTTGCATGCCAAACATACGAAGATTGCTGCTCAAGGTGTTCAGTGTTCTGTGGACACAGTTACTGTTTATATGTATTCATAATTTACCACATATTGATATTAGATGGTTGAAATCAATCGACAGGAAGCCTTGGTGGGTCTATATATCGTGCTAGTTAGCACTCACCAGCCACCAAGGCGTATCTTCAACCTCTAAGGTACTCATGTCCTCTCTGAGATTGAAACCCGCGTCACCCATTGCTGCCTGCAGTCAGAGACGTTATCTCTGAGTTGTAAGGCTGTAACGTCAGAAGACAAGGCCAGCCAGGCGACAGATCGTTCATTGAGAAAATCAAGAGATATGTATAGATTTTTATGTATATTATTATTCGTTATTGATAGCGGAGAATCAACGTCTCTTCTGATTGGTTATTCTGTACTGCTGGTGACCGTTTCTTAGAAAGTTAAACCATTTTTCTGAGAATCGTATTTGCACACGCTAAGTCTGCTGTGATTCGGGAGATGATTTTCTCAAGGTTAGGCTTTGTTCTTGTCTTTTTTTTCTCGTGACCCCGATTCGGGACGTAATCATTGACGTAAATTGTTGTGTACAATTTCGGCTCACAGACAGCTCTTACCACATTATTACTTATTATAATTATTACTATCATTTCTTTGGGTTTAGAGTGGAGCTTTGGTCTTCAGATACACATCTCCGCTTCAATCTGTTTTGTGAAATCTTTTTTTGCTGGTTATTACGATTAACTGTAAGCTTTCATTTCCTCGTCACAGGAGCTCCTCTATGTCACTATTATTGCTATCATACGAGTTGATTACGGATTGATACCAGTTAAGAGAACCATTGAGAACCAGGGAGTACTGGACAGCTGTTTCATCCTAGTTTGGGAGTCATCAGCAGTACTAACCCGCTGCCAGGATTCTCACCCAGGACCTTCCGGTAACAAGACAAGCTCGTATACCATTCAGCCACTGTGACCCATGCCTTGTAACTGGAAGGTCCTGTGTGAGAACCCAAGTGGGTGCCGATGATTCCCAAACTAGGATGAAACAGGTGTCCAGTACTCCCAGCTGGTTTTCAATGGTTCTCTAACTGATATCGATCCGTGATCAACTCGTAAAAACAAAACTAACCCTTACAAACCAAACTATTGAATTTTACTATTATAGTTTCATGTTTGATCTATCTGCGTTGATTTTCTGCATACTTATATTTCCAAATTTCCTGTGTTAGTTCTCTTGATTAAGACATCTAAGAGTGGGATTTTGTTGGCTAATTCTTCTTCCCTCCTGGTAAATTTAATATCTTTGACGCCATCGAAGGACGCCATTATTTCATTATCATCCACTTATAAGTGTTTTTGATTTTTTCTAAAAACTGAATTGGCCAATTTAATAGAATGGTTGTATGATTCTGTCAGATATTTTAATTTTCTGAAAAGTTCATTAGATAGATTGCTTGTTAATGTTTCTGGTAACGAAGGGATGTTTGGTTTGTGTGGTTTTGGTCTAGCATACCTTATTACGTAGGATGTTAAAGGTTGTCAGCTGCGTAAGCAATGTGCCACTTAACGAGCCTGTTAATATTCTGGTTGACAGGCACTTGGACTCAGGTGAAAAATGGGCTAAATCGATTCTATCTATCTAACTCACACCACCCTCTTTATTCACAACTCTCCCCTTGTTGTATCTCATCAGGTAGGACCAGAAGCCTATATAGAAAACTATATGCCCACACTGGAGAGTACAAAAACTCAACCATACCTTACTTATCTCGTGTTCTTTGCGAGAAAGAAAGCATTAGGCGTGAAACTTATGGCTTATTAAATAGTCAGTAGAACAACTGGATCTCGGCTTTCCAACTCATATCATTTATAGGTACAACGTTTTCTTTCTTCCACTTCTTTTTTTGTTGTTATGTGCTGTTTTGTTTCTTTCTTCCTGACAAACTCTACTTAAAACCTTCTTCTTCGTCCTTTCACACTCTGTATATCTCGACCTTTTGTTCCCGCTTACGCCAGTAAATATGCTAGCATCTACTTTTCGGACACTTTCAAACATTCTGTTCAATTTTCGCTTTGCTACCGATATGCCAATATGTTGTTGTCATAACTAACTGAGGCTACCGATAACCTATGTAGAATTTTATTTATTGTTAATGTACTAACTGGATGCAATACTGTATGTAGTGAAATGCTGAGAATTCCATTCTGTAGTTTTGGAATAAAGCAAATTATTATTATGATATGTATCCATATATATATATATATATATTTATGTGTGTGTGTGCATGTTGGTCTCTCTTTCTGTTTGCTCGGTTAGTCTGTGACCACTTCACTTGTATGAACTTGTCTCCTTTAATAATGTATATTCTCCTTATATTATATTATATATAATATGAGTGTTTGTTGACAGTCCGTTGCTTGGTGACATATATCCATATATGTTTGTTGGCATGTCTGCTATATTCGCTATGTATAATTGGATCGACACTCCATTATAATTAGCCATTCATGTTAAGACTGTCTAATTATTTTTCCCACGCTGTCTGAATTATTTATATATATTCGCATTAACAATTTGTGTGAACTACTTTACTTTACAACTACTTGACTTGCTTATCACTTTGGTGTGAGACCATTTATTTTCGTCTCCTTGTTTTTGGACAATAGAAGTATCATCGCAAACCTAGTGGTCTTCTGATTTCCGCCTTCTCGCGTCAGGACTATTAGTTTCTCGACCAGTCCATAACAATAATTTAGCGACGAGTACATAACAATTTGGCGACGGGGAAACTAGAACATAACATATTATTAATAAAATCGAGGTGAAATAGGTCTGTTAGGATACATTCACCACTGTTCTTATGTGTGTGTGTAGCTTGCTTGATTCCGATCCTACCTGGCTTTGATTTTCTCATGTGTACCGCCCGCTTATAGTTGAATCGATGCCAGGTAGATAGATAAGTGTGACAGAGGGTCACATTTCATATTGCTATTGATTTTGTATAGTATAGTATAGTCTTCAGTTATTGATTTTTATGGCCTGTCATTGGCCTACAGTGAGTGATCTACAAGTCAGTTTTCATTCATTCGCATTCTTACATTCATTATGAAGTTAAATATTCAGGGTTATATTCTCTGTTTTAAAACAAAATTAAATTTCAATTTCCACAGAGCTAAATTATCAACTTCAGCGCAAGATTCATCCCTTGAAGTATTTACAGAAAATCTTCGCCGTCTGTTGATGACCGCTCCACTACGTATCCCGACTACTGTAAATCAAACAACAACAACAACATCAACGAAGTATGAAGATGACTTAGGCATGATTTCTTCGGCATCTGGTGCACCAGGTGATCGTCTGCCTGTTGTCGGTTTGGATCCAGGTTGGCGAAATGGATGTAAATGGGCCGCGTGTGATCCGCATGGGAATGTGTTAGCCACAGGTATATTATGGCCACCTCACACGTATTCAGCTATTCCAGTGAAACAGTTGAATGCTCGCAATGGACCAAGAGAGAATAATGGTTTGGCGGCATTAACAGCTGTTATGCAGCGTAATCAGTGAGAATCATTTGATTATCATCATTATTTCTATTTCTACTAATATTGTTATTTGATGGAAAAGAGGACAAGCTGTTCGACGAAGAGTCTGTTTTTTTATCGGCGATTTCATTTTCCGCCTTAGCCGTATGGTTATTAATATTATTCCCTTGAGTTACGAGTGCAAAACATAGGCATATGTTGTCCTTTTTAGTGCAGTTCTCTTTATATGGCCCACAATTTGCTATAATCGTTCGTCTCCTCCTGACACGGTCTCCTTCATGCCACCCTCGAACTCGTGGCCAACTCAGCATTTTCTATTTGGATTTCAGTTGAACTATTGTCTGACCGCGACGTGATGTCACCCAACGGTCACCTCAGCATGTGTCCGGTTCACCTCCATCTCTTTCTGAATATTTGTTAAGCCGGCGGTTTCCTAATCGGTATGTACCCTGAGTTTCCTCTTGCGAATTCTTTCTAGCTGACCATCTGGTCTGCCAGTGAAGGCGGCTGTTGGTAAAAGTTGGAATCGGCCTGCTTTTCGCGACACACAGGTGATTTTTCTCACCAGTATAGAAGAACTGACTGACTTGACATTGGTGTTGAAAATCCGAATTTTTGTCCTTCTAATACGCAAATTAACCACGTTTAGTTCAGGGGACATCACTGTTATTAGGCTGTATTGAGTGGAATAACCCCATTGCTTATTATTTATGATCTGTGTCGCCAGTCGCGTCGGTAGAACAGAGGTAGAATGGTCGCGCCAACCACACCTCATTTGGTTGGGGGTTCGGTCTCCGACCACCGACACACTCCTTTACTTCTGTAAGCCAGTAGTGAGACTGGTAAAGCGGGAAGATTGGGCATGAGACTAGCAACCCCATCCCGCAGAGATAAGCACCCTTGATACCGAAACTTCAAGTCTCTGGCTTGAAGTCCTCCCTATGTTTCTAAAGGAATAAAGAAAAATATATCGTCAGTTTCAATGAACTGGTTGACATTTTGTTATGGACCTTTCCCCATTTGATATGATCTCGTCGACAGTTGATACAACAGATTAGATTTACGCGTAACGATAATCACACTGACGCAATGAAAAACTCAGCTGATATGCTAGACACACACCTATTCGTCCGTGGTATCTTCCGCATTACTGAGCCACGTAAATATCAAATACAAAGAACTGGCCTGTTACTGTTAGGACAAAAATTTTACTAGGGAAAAAGCACGTCATATATATGTATGTAAAATCTGCCTGCAGCAGCGGAAAATAGATTGTTCTCATTGGTACGCGATTTGGCTAGGTCTGCGAAAAATAAATATTCTAGTGTTAGTTTATTGGAATTTGATTTGATCGGTTACATGATTTCATCATGAGCTGACATTGGTCAGAGAGCCATTGGGAAACATGAGAGTACTGCCACACAGCTATTCCGTCCTATTTTAGAACTGAATTAACAGAAGTTGATGTTCATGGGCTGGTCATTGGATCGGGTCCCAGGTGGCTTATTGGTGGTCTATGAACTCTGCTTGTAACCGGATGATCCTGAGGTCCGAACCCTTGTGGTGGTGGGTAGGTGCCTACTGTTGAAGCAGAGTCTCAAACTAGACTGACAAAACAGCTGTCTGGCTGTACTCCCAGTTTTTCCAATGGTTCTCTAATCGATGTCAGCGCGTGATCCTTTAATCCGGTATTAAGTATTCTGATGGGTTCGGCGATGTGACCAAGACCTCAAGGTAAGGACAAGATGATGAGATTCTACAACCATACGATCACTGACTGACCAGTTTCAACGTAGATGTACAGCAATTCGAGCGGCCACACTCCATGTAATAATAATATTAACAGCTTTATTCCAAACGGTATTTGTGGTACAGGTATGGAATTTTCAGCGTGCATTACAATATATTGCATCTAATTACCTCATAAATTTTATAAGATTTTTAATTTGAAAAAAAAACCAACGCCAAAAAATAAAAGATAAATAAAAATTATCAACTGTTTAGATGAAGAACCGTGTATAATGCATTTTTACTCACAGTTTTATTTTCTTTCTTCTTTCTTCCCTAACCACCTTTCACAGTATTGAAACTGTTGCTCTCGGCAATGGACAAGGCAGTCGACAAACTGGTTCATGGTTATCCCATTTAATACAAATTGACCACTTCAAACCATTAAATATTCGTTATGCTGTTGTCAGTGAATCTGGTGCCTCTTATTATAGTGCTTCAGAGTTGGCCTGTAAAGAATTACCAAATTTAGATGTGAGCTTCAGGGGGGCTGTGTCAATCGCTAGACGATTACAAGATCCACTAGCTGAATTAGTGAAACTTGAACCAAAACATTTAGGCGTAGGTATGTATCAACATGATATTCCAGAACGTCGATTAGTCGGTGCTGTTCATGATGTTATGGAAGAGTGTATTAGTTTTGTTGGTGTTGATTTGAATGCTGTCCCCCTGCATATTCTGTCTCATGTAGCTGGTTTGTCTGAGGCGAAAGCAAAAGCAATTTTAGCCTATCGGTGTCAAGTTGGATCATTTCGTTCGAGAGCTGATCTTCTCAAGGTAATTTTCACTTGTTGTATATGTGTGTATATCTGTGCGTTGAATGAGATGCCTTTATTGTTTTGTGAAAATCAATATTATTGACCGAATTTCGTTATGATGTTGGCATATGCATACTTCACAGTAACATTGAGATTAAAGTAGCGATATCAGACTTGACACGGACGCGGTGATCACGAAAATTGCTATTCCTAACGCAAACAGTACTATACGACAGCTACCTGTTTCCACAGCCCTCTCTAATTAAGCGAGAACACACAACGACGTGATCCGAAAAGCATATTTCCGTATCGGCCACCGATATATATATATATATATATATATATATATATTTATATGTATGTATATATAATGCTGGACAGTTGAAATCCTAAAGGCGATCATGAGGCTAGCTAAAGAGGATTGCATAGAACACAATACAATGGAGCTGTGTTATTGGAGCCATGTGCCCCGATTGGAACCCAAGTGAATAATAATAATAATAATAATAATAATAATAATTATTATTATTATTATAGGTTGGCGGGAATGTCTCTGACTCTAGTACTGGATGAAGAGGATTTCGACCTCAAAGAGTCTGGTATCGTTTCATTTCTTTCGAGGTTGTGAAGAGATGCCTTAGTGTCAAGTAGCAAAAAAACACAAAACATGTATTCAGGGCTCTTCTTGTGGCTTGGTCTCAACCACCTAACACATACTTTAGACGCATATATGTATTGACTTGTACTTGCAATAACTCATCGTTATAACTATTGTTCACATTGTGATGAATAGTATTCGATTTTATTTCTAGGTTAAAGGTATTGGACAGTCAACTTTTGCTCAATGTGCTGGTTTTGTTCGAGTGAAACCCACATATTCAACAACTACTTTAGATGGTACAAAGTAAGTTTTGTGTGTTGACATAATTGCTGTTCATCGGTAGGGTTATACTTCCTATTGGAATTCATGATTTGCGTTTCGGTGTAATTTAGGTTTCAGTGTGGATATTATTACGATCTGACTTCGGTTAGAGCTTGATTGTTATATAACCAAGAAGTGAACTGATAGAAGTTACTTTCAAAAGAAGCATTGAAAGCCACCAGCGAGTACTGGAAAGCCGTTTTGTCCCAACTTATCCTATACTCTTCAGTAGTACGCACCCACTGAGATTTGAACCTGTGACCTGTGTTACGAGATTATCCCGTAAACACAGATGAAATCCCATAGTCCATGAATTTCAGACAATTCTTGATATATAATGCCGCCTCCAACCCCAGTGTCAATGACTCTCAGTGGATGAGCAGTGGTCTGCGAGCTCGCCTTGTAACCGGAAAGTCGTGGGTTCCAATCCCAGTGTGTGGGTGTATGCTGGTGAAGAGTCCCGAACTAGGACGAAGCAGCTGCTCAGTACTCTTCCGTGGTTATCAAATGACTCTCCCCGAAAGACAAGAGGATTGCATCCTCATTTACGACTCATCTCTAAGACTTATAAAAATTTTTTAAATTACAATACAGAAATTTATCAATCTTGTGGTGATGGGAAGTTTGTTAGCACTGAAGAGTTCTAAACTAGGGCGAAAAAAGTGTCAAGTGCTCCATGGTTGGCAATGATCTGTATCACTTATGTTAGACTGCGCGTCGGCGGCACAGATGTAGGGTGCTACCGATCACGCAGGTGGTCCTAGGTTCGATCCATGGCCACCGACGCACTCCTTTACCTCGCTAAGCCAGTAGTAAGACTGGTAAGGCGAGAAGGTTGGACGGAATGAGGCTTTCAGCTTCATCCCATAAGAATAAACACCATTGCTACAGAAACGTCAAGTTTCTAGCTTGAAGCCCTCCCTATGTTCCACTGGAAACGTAAAGGAATAGAAAATAAAAGTGTTAGATTGTGACTAAATCTACACTGAAATTCATTCAAATCGTTGGAAAAATCCATAATCTACAAACACTAACTAGATGAGTAGAAATCAATTAGATTGTTGCCATGGTATAGTAGTAGGAGTGGTTAAATAATTATTTCCTTTTGTATGCATAGCTCCGGTTTTTCCTACTGTATAGCTAAAGCTTCAACAGTGCAAGAAGAAGACGAAAGCGTATTGCCTTTGACAGGTTGGTATTCTTTACTTTGTAGATTGATTATTTTGAAGGAGGAGACGTTTATATTGGGATGGAATGACCAGTGTGGACAAGGTGTTTAATTATCGCGCACTCCTAAATGAGCCGCTAGTACTTTTCTCTAGCTGTGTTCTTGAACCCTTTTAGACAGGATACGCGTCGAACAACCAGTGTACCTGTCTCCACAGCAACAGGTGAACTGACACGCATACATACAAAGAAGTGGTCACACGCATGATGTTATCCTTTAAGGCTTCTACAGATCAATGGGCAACTGGAAAACACCAACTCTTAGCATTGCTGCGATGAATATCGCCACCCCCCCCAAAAAGATTCTGAAATTCTCCTTAGGCCATAAGTGGCTCCTGTGAAATCCAGGTCCTTGTAAAGTTTCTTTTTGTGTCTGCATTCATTCACGCTATTTTTTTTTACTGCAGCATTATTGATTTTGACTGGTGAATACTATCCATACACATTGACGGTGTTTTCTGCTGTTCCGTTTTCTTTTTTCTCTCTGTCTTCCAATGCCTAACTATAGGGATGTTGAAATGATTTCCATTTCTGATGATGATGTTGACGACAGAGGTAATAACAATAATTATGGTGGAGTTGGCGTTGGAGGTAAGCGTAAACGTGGTACTGAATCAATTGGGAAACGTGTTAGTAAAAAGCCACGCTTAAAGCCGTCATCATCTGTCAATAATGATCAGTCTGGTGTAAATTGTTTCAATCCCTTGGATCAGACAGCTGTTCATCCGGATACATATGATATTGCAACAAAGTGAGTACTATTACTGTTATTATTATTATTTATTCATTTCTTGTGTTTCATTTGCATAACAATCGGCCCTCCACCATCACTTTCAACCAATTCGTGACCAGTAGGGTCGACCATTTCACCATTTGAAATGAATGTTCATTGAAGGCATTAGCGTGAGGGCAGCGCCATATCATAATGCACGCACGAGTTGACAAAGTCAGAACTTGAGGGCCATAGAATCCCCACCTATCCCCCGAAGCGACTGAATGATCGACGCCCTTGGTCTCATTGCCACCTGAAGGTCTAGGGTGTTAAATCCCTGGCGGTGGGGTGCATACTGGGGAGGAGTCTCAAACAACCAAGGGCAAAACAGCTGTGTCCACTACTGCTCCGTGATAGTTTTCATTGATTTGTCCAACTGATGCCTACAAGAGCTCTCTCTTTTCATCCATGTTAGCCATAGACAACCGCAGCCCGGACTCGAACTCTACTCGACGACCTGGTGTTGTCACTGAAATGTGCCTTTATTTCAGTGTATGAAAAATTCAACTGCCTAAAATACCTATTCTCTATCCTGCTTCCTCTGCTAAAATTCTTTGTGTGCTCGCTTGCTTATCCCTTTCTGACCGACCGACTGGCTGTTTGACTGATCTTCAGTATCTGGTGTAGAAGGCAACTCTTTGATATAAGAATAAAACTTGTGCACTGTGGTAGAGTATAATTCCATTATGAGTAAAATTTGTTTTGATGAAGTCTCACTGTATTATACAGTAATGTTTACTGATGACCACATTTCGAGCACAATTTATTGCTCATAATCATATCAAGGCACTACTCACACGACTTCCTAACTTCATTTTTATAGTTTCATTGTTTTTCACTTGATTTGATTGGCAGTAGTATTTCCCATATTTCAGGTATGAGTGATGAGTCATTCCTATTCCATGTGTTGGGTGTAGACTCGATGATTAAGGATTCAGTAATCAACCTCTCTCTCCACCTATCTAGACTACTTTTTAGAATTTTAACCCCCTCCCTTCCATCCTATTATGTGGTTGTGTGTTAATGCATGCATTGGAATTGCTGAGCGTTTTTCTAAATTAATTATCTTCTCGGGGTCAACCATTCTTACTGTTATGTTCTAGTTTCCCCCGTCGCCAAATTGTTATGTACTCGTCGCTAAATTATTGTTATGGACTGGTCGAGAAACTAATAGTCCTGACGCGAGAAGGCGGAAATCAGAAGACCACTAGGTTTGCGATGATACTTCTATTGTCCAAACACAAGGAGACGAAAATAAATGGTCTCACACCAAAGTGGTAAGTAAGTAAAGTAGTTGTAAAGTAGTTCACACAAATTGTGAATGCGAATATATATAAATAATTCAGACAAGCGTGGGAAAAATCATTAGACAGTCTTAACATGAATGGCTAATTATAATGGAGTGTCGATCCAATTATACATAGCGAATATAGCAGACATGCCAACAAACATATATGGATATATGTCACCAAGCAACGGACTGTCAACAAACACTCATATTATATATAATATAATATAAGGAGAATACACATTATTAAAGGAGACAAGTTCATACAAGTGAAGTGGTCACAGACTAACCGAGCAAACAGAAAGAGAGACCAACATGCACACACACACATAAATATATATATGTGGATACATATCACCTCCCCTTTTGAGAAGATGAATGATTAGTAGGATGTTTACCTGGGGGTTTATCTGGGACCTTTGGGCTTGTTGTTGACGCCTGTCGTTTCGTCTGATTGTTGGGTTTGCGGCTTCGGCTCCGTCCGGAATTGTCTAGCATTTTATGCTTCTTCACTGTATTGCGTAGAGAATTTAGTGGGACATCAGCCAGATGCAAACGATCGAACCAATCAAGTCCCAAAACATTTAAATCATTCTTCGTGACGTAACAAATTCCTGTGAATTTGGTATTGCGGAAGGAAACAGAACATTTGAGTTCACCAATTAGTTTGAGCCGCCCACCACAGGCGCTGACAAGAGACTGGGAAGTATTGGTGATAGGTGGTCTGCCAATATAATTCCAAAGTTTCTCTGATATAACAGTAATATCAGAGGCGGTATCTAGCTGCAGACGTGCATCATGACCATTCATCTGAAGATCAAGATATTTCCGCATAGCTGGTGTTGTGACTTGACGGGTTGCACGTAGACTCAATGACTTTTTGGGGGATTTAGGACCAACATTTTGTTGAGCTTTTGCTGGATTTTGACATCTGGGCTTGCGTGGCTGACAAAAACCATTTTTGTGACCGATGATCTTGCACTTGCTGCAACGATGATTTTTGTATGGACAAGACTTTACAAAGTGCCACGCGCCACAATGCCAGCATGGTGATGGTGGGGTCTTCTTTGCAGTATTTTGTGAAGTTGGACGAGTATGTATAGATTTCCGCGGAACATTAGAAGAAGTAGGTGGGTCAGGAGTAGCTGATGAGAGATTTTTGCTCTTGCGTAATGCACGAATATCAGAGCTTCTCGGAGGTGTTGATTCGACCAAGTGTGTGTCTTTCTGCAGATTAATCAGCCGTTGATATTCATCAGCTATGTCATGTAATGTTAACTTGGGATTTTGTTCTAGCTGATTGAGCAGTCGAGTTCGGATATCTGTGAAACGAGGAGATTGGAGACTGCATATGAGAATCAAGGCTTTGAACTGATCATCTGTTAAGGACCTGAGTCGAAATCTCTCACATTCTCGGTTGACTGTGCCAACGTGAGTAAGAAAATCATCATTTTCATTCATTGCCAGCTTGAGGCAACGATAACGTATACTGAATAATGAGGAGTGGTCTCCGAAATGTTCACGCAGCAACTTTATTGTATCATCGAAACAATTGTCACGTGGTTTCTGTGGTAAAATTAGGTTGCAGTACCGTTCATATTCTGCCGGACCCAATTTACGTAGCAAAACTCGCACCTTCCAGGCATCGTCTTGTGAGGCGAGATCAACAGTGAATAAATCCTCATAACGTTGATACCATGTGTCAAAAGTGACATTAGCCTCTGGGTCATAATTGAACTGTGAAATGCTGTTCACAATTCCGTCGACAGATGGTAGCATGGTATGATTGGGATTGCTTGAAGGTGAAGCTGGACCAGTCTGTTGGTTGACGAACATTTCCATTAATTTCAATTGTTGTTCAAACAATAATTCCAATTTAGAATAATCCATAGTAAATTGTTATGTTGCTGCTGCTGAGTGGTTAATAGTAGTTTTTCCCCGTCGCCAAATTGTTATGTACTAGTTTCCCCGTCGCCAAATTGTTATGTTCTAGTTTCCCCGTCGCCAAATTGTTATGTACTTCCCGTCGCCAATTGTATGTGTATTGTTATGCCTAGTTTTCCCCGTCGCCAAATTGTTATGTACTCGTCGCTAAATTATTGTTATGGTCTGGTCGAGAAACTAATAGTCCTGACGCGAGAAGGCGGAAATCAGAAGATCACTAGGTTTGCGATGATACTTCTATTGTCCAAACACAAGGAGACGAAAATAAATGGTCTCACACCAAAGTGATAAGTAAGTAAAGTAGTTGTAAAGTAGTTCACACAATTTGTGAATGCGAATATATATAAATATTCAGACAAGCGTGGGAAAAATCATTAGACAGTCTTAACATGAACGGCTAATTATAATGGAGTGTCGATCCAATTATACATAGCGAATATAGCAGACATGCCAACAAACATATATGGATATATGTCACCAAGCAACGGACTGTCAACAAACACTCATATTATATATAATATAATATAAGGAGAATATACATTATTAAAGGAGACAAGTTCATACAAGTGAAGTGGTCACAGACTAACCGAGCAAACAGAAAGAGAGACCAACATGCACACACACACATAAATATATATATGTGGATACATATCACTTACCTTAGCTAAATTCTTATGTTCTGACAATCTGACTACCCCTGACCTACTGGTTTGACTTATGCAGTTGACCTGACTCACAGTCATTGCAGGGTATTTTGTAAATAATATTATTTTGTCTAATTGGGTCAACCGACAGGGTCCTTTAACCTACAGAGCTTATCCTACCTGAGTGAGTTTGTAGGTTTAAATGCCACCCTAATTCCTATTTTATTCAGAATCCTACATAGTGTCTCAGACGTCACCTCTTAATATGGTGTAAACTGTACATGACTTTTATTCTCTCTTATTTATGTTATTATTACTAGTTTCACAATTATTATTTTGTTTTTGGCCTTTAATGATCTTCCTAATGAATTTTATGGGATAGTTATTCAACACCAACGCTTCTTCTATCTGTTTTATTTCGTCATTTAGGTCTTTTCTTATGCTCCTTAGTGCTACTGCTCGGTTTGTTAAACACTTAACTAAGCCTGCCTTAACAGTTAATGGATGAGATGAATTAAAGAGGTCTAAGTATCTATTAGCAGAATGAGTTGGTTTTCTGTATACACTAGTGTGTAGTTTACCTTCTTCTATTGGTTTTATTTTACAATCTAACATCACAGCTAATTCTCCTTGTTCATTTTCTGATTCAAATGTGAATTTTATTCCCTCCACTAGTGAGTTTATATGTGTCAAGAAGCTAGAGATATGTTCTGTTTTTAACACTGTACAGTAAACATTACTGTATAACAACACTGTGAGACTTTATCAAAACAAAAATTTACCCATAATGGAAGGCAACTCTTGTCTATTCCAGTCTCTATTTCCTTCGGAATATTTGTTTGTAGCAATATGTATTCATGGCGGTCTCTTACTTGTTCTGTCCTGTTGATTGTCTGATCTTGAAGACTGTGAGTGTAGGCAGGTAGGCATCAATGAAAGTCTGTTATAATAATAATAATAACAGCTTTATTCCGAACAGTATTCATATAATATACCGAGAGTTCAATAGAATTTATTGAACAGTAGTTTCTCTTTCTCTACTATCTTCAAAGAAAAGTAATAGATGACAGTAGATCGTGTGATACCAATGCTTTTTAACTTAAAGCGAAAACGGCGAAGTGCCTCGGTGGCCGGCGATCCAACCCTGAACCACATATGAGGCGCGGCTGGCGAACATTCTGCCGCTGTATACCACCGACGCAAAAAACCACCATCTCTTGTGCTATTTCCTCTTTGTCTCCTTCGACAAATGTACAACGTTTAGTTTAAAGCCAGTTAGTTACCTTGTTCACCTTCAATCATAACCCACTGCATAGTATAGTGTAGTGTACTGTATATGAGTAAACTTATTCACGGTGTGCTTATTGTTTTTTGTTTTTGCTTTCATTTTTGTGTATGTCTTCCTGTTTCAGTATCATTTCAATGCTTCACTGTCAACTGACAGATGTTGGATCAGCAAAGTTGAGAGCAGCTGCAACTCAATTTATGCTTAGTGATGATCGTGAGTTTGAAAAATTTCAATATTTTCTCAATATACTTATTATTATGTTCATGATTATCATTATTATTATTATTATTATAATTCCCTGTGGTCCCGAGGGGAATATATGTGTGGTGCTCTACCAACACATCTCCATTTGAACCTTGTTCTCTAAAGTTCTCTTTGGCTTGCCCCACGGTTGCCCATAATCTCTCATCTCCTCCTCTATGTCAACTTTGAAGTTACGCCCAACTGATTGTTTCGCATTCGGGTTCCATTCAAGAGATATGGCCTGGCACATGTCACTCAACGGTCTCCTAACAGCATGTGTGTCCAATCTATCTCCCGTTTTTCTTCGGAATACTTATATGAACGACAAATTCTTGATCGGATTGGTTCACTCCCAGAGTTTTTTTTGTTGTTAATTGTTTCTGGCCAGCCGGTCAATTTGATCTCCTCAGTAGTATATGGAGGCGTTGAAGTGGACAGTTGTTGATAAAAGTCACCAGTAGTGGTCTGTTGGAGATGATTTTTGTGACACATGTGCGCACCAAATTTCTCATCTGCTTCGAGAAGTAGCGATTGACTTAACATTTGGTATTGAAAATCTGTGCTTGGTTCTCTTTTTATGCTGAATGAGCACAGTAGATTTTCAAACTGGTTTCTGAGTAAGCAAAAGGGCGCAGCCTTGTCGTTCCGATCCTGGCTGGTTTCGACATCCTCATGCTTGTAGTTAAAAATAATAATAATCATAACAATAGCAGCTTTCGAAATAATAGAGAAGACTTGTAACTCAGATGGATGATTTGCAGTTAATAGTGTTCTCTGAGCTAGCTGGTTGGTTTAGTTGCTGACCTTTCGTCATCCTTCTGGACAATATCTTCAGAAATTTAAATCATTTCACTTTATGCAAAATATTGTGCTTAAGATGTTGTCCAGAAGGACGACGAAAGGTCCGCAACTAAACCAACCACTTAGCTCAGAGAGCACTAATAATTGCAAATAGCAGCTTTATTCCAAAAAGTACTTTTGCTACAAATATGTAATTTTCAGCATGTGTGTAATACAATCAGTATTGCATTTAATTTTCTCATTACAAGGGCAATAATTAAACCAGGGCATTTACATGAATAATATGGTTCAATAAGAGCATGAATATAACATTATATCAAGTGAAAGTATTACCTCCAATATGAAGTCAGTGCTACTTTACGGATCAGAGACTTGGTGCGTCATAAAAAGCATCTCAAACAAACTTCAGACCTTCATTAACAGTTGTCTTCGCTCAATACTCAAGATCAGATGGCCGGCCAGAAAAGATCAGCAACAGGGATCTCTGGGAGCGAACCAACCAGGAAACGATTGCGAAAGAAATAGGCAGGAAGAAATGGGGATGAAATTGGCCATACTCTGAGGAAACAAGCCATCAAATGACATCACTAGACAAGCCATTACTCGAGTGGAACCCGACAGAATGAGAAGTGGCGAGTTGGTCGTCCAGGGATGACTTAGAGGAGGTCATGTGAAGAAGACTTGAAAGCGTGTGGGTAGACTTGGAGCGGGTCGAAAAAGTTGGCAGAAAACAGAAGGCAGTGGAGACGCGCAGCTGAAGCCCTATGTTCCTCTAGGAATTAAAGGATATAATAATAATAATAGTTTGATTTGTAAGGGTTAGTTTTAGTTTTTTACGAGTTGATCGTGGATTGATATCACTTAGAGAACCATTGAAAACCAGTGGGTGCGTACTGTCGATGATTCCAAAACTAGGACAGAGGAAACAGCTGTCCAGTACTCCCTGTAGTTGGTTTTCAATGGTTCTCTAACTGATATCAATCCGTGGTTAAACTCGTAGAAACTAAACTAACCTTTACAAACTAAAGTATAGAAAATTAATCTGATGCTCTCTAGTGACTTGGTGTAGCACGGAGTTTCCTGAAGTTCTAGTGAGAAGTCGTCACCAGTGAGGTCCAATTAAATGTCACGTGTGTGGATGGATGTCCCACCGACGACATTGGTTGGTGGTCGCGCTAAATCACGAATTGGTAGGAGTTAAAATTCATTCAGTAGCCATTGAATCGGGTCCCATTGACTGAATGATATACGAGCTTGGTTGATTGCTTGTAACCGGAAGGCCGTGGGTTCGAACCCTGGCAGTAGGTGCGTACTGATGATGGTTCCCGGAAAAATCACTACTCGAGTACTGGTTTTCAATGGTTCCCTAACTGATATCAATCCATGATCAACCTGTGAAAATATTACCGACAATATTTGTAACAGTGAGAGCAAGCAAAGAAATGCCATTTCGCTTAGAGCTACTAATATCCTGACTTACACACCTTTCTCATCACATGTATAATGTATGTCCTGCCAAATAAGGTATTGTAGAGGTTTTTGTCCGAGCATACAGTCTTCTATAATTATCACTTCTAGTTCTACCCGATGAGGTAGGTAGATGCAAGGAGAGATTGGTGTATGGAGAGGATGGCCAGAGTCTGACAGGATAATATTCGCTAATTTCTTTGCAGAAATCCAAGTGTCTATCTATTGCCTACAATAGTATTAACGAGTTGGTTTAGCACCAAACCCACTCGCCCTACTAAGGGATTTTAGGCCCCCCTCCAGATCATTTCAACTTCCTTACATAGAACGTCAAATGAAATATACATATTTCTGAAAACTCAAAAGATGATATAAGGGGGACCAGGAAAGGTGGTGATCAGGGGAAATACACACACACACACACACACAATCCAATGTATTTAACATCCAGTGCCATTTATGATAGTGGAACCGTGCTATCTAACCAGTTCACGTAAGTCACACTTGCGTATCTGAAAGTGAAGTTAACCACCACCTGATATTTGGAGGGATTAAACTCTGAGGACGACGAGGATCCCGTGACTAATTTTTTTGATAAACAGTTATTCAAGTATTGGTTTGTAGGGATTCGGTTGATTGGTTTCAGGATTTCATCATGAGCTGACATTGGTTAGAGAACCATTGAAAAACCAACCGGGAGTACTGGACAGCTGTTTCGTCCTAGTTTGGGATTCTCCATCAGTACGCTCGAACAAATACTCGCCGAAGGCATTGGCTAGCGGTTGTGCTATATCGTGAATTGGTAGAAGTTAGAATTCATGGGCCATTGGATCGGGTCACAGTGGTTTAATGGTCTACGAGCTGGCTAGCTTTGTAGTGGAGAGGTCCTTGGTTCGAGCCCCGGCGGGTGTGTACTGATGAAGAGTCCCAAACTAGGGCGTAGGAAACAGCTGACTGTCCAGTATTCCCGGTTGGTTTTCCAATGACTCTCTAACCAATGTCAACTCATGATGAAATCCTGTCACCAAAAAGTTATTCATTTTTGAACAGTCTCACTGAGAAGATGTAACCACCACCGGCATGGATAATTGAAGGAAGTGACCTTTTTCTTTTAAAAAAAAACCTTGACAGCCTTCCAAACTTCATACATTGTGTAAACATTCCACGTCATGATCCCTTAATTTTCCTTATGATCGAAAAAAGGACACATTGGCTGACTAGTTTTCCAAAGATTGACCCTAGCCCATATCATTCTGTCTCTCCGATACCAACGAGGAACAAGTTTGTCTCTTATATTGCTTATGTCTCACTTTGAAGTCTCTCTAGCGTTTGGATTCATTTCCCGTGTAGAATTGCTAGTCCCACGCGCTTAGTCTTCCTTCTTTTACTCGGGTTAAGACAGGCTAGAAAAACTAGAGAACTATTATTAAACTAGACAAGATTTCTCAATACATCAGTTTGTAATTATTTCAGTCATTAGTTGGTGGGGGAGGGGCAACCAGGAGAATCGAGGATTTACATTTTCGCCTTATTTGGAACTAGTCATCAGAGTGTGTCTATGTGCAACCCCACCCACCCCCCGATGAGTGGATACTGTTGCCTCTGAGGCACTCTGACCCAATATCTATATAGTTTTGAAAGCTACTATGAATATACGAAATCAACTTCTTCTTCTTCTTACCTTCACGTTCCCAGTGGAACATAGGGAGGAGGGCTTCAAGCTAGAGGCTTAAAGTTTCTGTAGCAGTGGTGTTTAATTTTGCAGGATGGGGTTGCTGTTAGTCTCATGCCTAACCTTTCCTCTTTATCAGCATTATTTCTGGCTTAGCGAGCGAGGTAAAGAAGTGCGTCCAGTGGTCGGGAGATTGAACCCCGAACCATGTGCTTGGTCGGCGAGCGTTCTAACCGCTGCACCAACCTTCAGTAGATAAAAATTGGTGTCTGTTCTTCTCAAAACAGTAACAGTTTAAATATCATATTATTTCCAAAGAGATTATTGGCTGAGTTGAAGGGGAAGTCAGTCAATTGTGCTGCTACATATTGCCAAGCTATAGTATTTGTTGTGTGTGAATCTAGGCGCTACACAGTTGCACACAGAGTTGACAGTGGGACCCAAACCCCTTGAGAACTACAGAAGTTGATACATTCGAGAAGTATCTCTTATTATTGGAGTATGCGGATGCTGTTATTATAATGGTTGTCTAGAGTCGCATCGTCTACTTTTGCGTAACTTCACATACTAGCGATTGTTTTATGTTCTTCATCTTTGCTTTGACTTTGGAAAACAAAAAAAAGCCCCGGTGGGTGCGTGCGTACTGCTGAACAGTCCCAAACTAGGACGTAGGAAACAGCTGACTGTTCAATAACTCCCTGCAGATTTTCCAATGGTTCTCTAACCAATGCCAGCTAATGATGAAATCCTGTAACCGAACAATCAATCAATCAATCGAATCCCTACAAACCAATACTTAAAAAATAATTAGGTTCCATTGAACTGAATAGATTGTCAGTCAAATCTCTACCTCGTCAACTTCATCGGCTTTTAATTAGCTTTCAACAGAGAAGTAATTTGGACACTTCTTCAACAATATGGAGTGGCTGAAATCCCTATCAAGTTCATTCAACAGCTATGTGAAGTGATCGAGAACAACAAAAAACTCAGCGAAGCCTTTTAATTGGAGTTGTGAGTAAGATATGGCTGTCTGTCAACTATTACCAGTGATATCCCTGATTGTGGTGGACTGGATTATGCGGAAGACAACAGTGTATGTTGAACCGACAAGAAGGCTGTAGAAGGTCGGAAATTCGTGCTAAAAACTTGTGTCTGATGTCGCATAAACTCGATGATCTACAGGTGGAAACTAACAAGTTGATTGCAGAAGATGGAGGTGATCAAGATCCCCAGCAATCGACAACACCAAGCACTACCAACTGGAGAAATTTGAAAGAGATCACTTCTTTCGCTTATCTGACCAGGCAGCATCGTTTCAACTATAGGCGAGCGTCATGGATGAGGAAGTCAAATTCATCCAGAATCAGAAAGTCAAGGCAGACACTGGTCACTCTGAAGTCTGTGGAAATCTGAGACAATCAATTTCATGAATAGGATTTGGATTTTCATCAAATTGTTTGGTTGTGAGTGGGACATGCGGCTTCAACAGCACTTTCCCATTTCGTGGTGTCCTCTATGTTCCTCTTCAACTGACTCTACGATTGCCCATAAAATTTCATCTCCTCCTTGCACAGATCACCCTTGGACCCTCGCTCAAGTTATTGTTTCTCATTCGACTTCTACTCGTAAGTAAGGTACTCAGCAGTCTCCTCAATTTGTATATTAGATCTCTATCAATTGTCGTCGGCATATTTTCCTTGGACAGGCTGTTGATAAAAGTCCTCAGCTTCAGGGGATGCTCAAAGTATTTATGAATCGTGTAGAAACAGCGAATGATTCGTCTGTATGTCTGTTTTCAACACAGAACTTTGCACCGATGTGCAGCAGTTTAAGTCGCCTCACTCCCTCCATGTAGCACATAGAGTAAAAAAAGACGGAGAAAGTAAGAAGAAATGCTAAATAAAGACAGTAAACAGAGATATGAGACAAAAGAAATAGTAATAACGAAGAACAATACAGTTTCATTGGAAAATATAAGTCACAAGAAGTGGATGCATCTGCATCAGCCATTGAGAGAGCGATCACTTTGAGGCATATCATCAATTTTCTCCAACCATTGGTTTTTACCGTCCCGAAAACGACCCCAACCAGGAAGCTAGTCTACACCCTCCTACGTGGCTGGCTGGCTTATACTAACTGTTGTGGATTTCATTGACTGATGCAGCCATGTTTTGCTTTGCCGCTAGCTCTTTTCCAACCTGATCCAAACTATGTCAGCTAACATTGCGAATGATTCGATGTTGATTTTACAAATCAGGATCATGTTCATTATTATTCTGTGTGTAGTAGAATCAATCCTATATCATTCATTCTGGAGCAATGAAATGGTGTCTTTCCTGGGTGTTTTGACAATCCTGTCTGACATTTTGACATCTTCCCTCACCCTATATCCCCTTGCTTCCTGTAATTTAATTAATAATATATTGCATCTAATTACCTCATAAATTTTATAAAATTTTTAAAATAAAAAAATAAGTAAATAAAAAACCAACGCCAAAAAAATAAAAGATAAATAAAAATTTTAGAAAAAAGAAACAGCGTAGCGTTTACATTTCAAACAATGCACCACAGGATATGAAATATAAAGTTGATGTGTGACAGAAGATGAGAACAACAGTGTAATAGTAACAAGGAAAGGAAAGCAAAAACTGATGGGACTATTTGTTAGAGTGCCGCAGTAAGTTTATTGTGTCATACCTAACGGATTTCTCATCACATAACAGCTGTGCCAGATACGGTATTGTGGAGTTTTTGCATTTAGTAGTCCTAGCATATAGCCTCCTATTGGTGCTTCTAGTTCTAGCAGATGAAATGCAAGGAGACAGCTGCGTAAGGAGAGAGGATGCTCGGGGTCCGACAATATTGTATTCGCTAGTTTCTTACATGACATAATATGTCTGTCCACAATAGTGTTCACCAGTTGGTTTAACGATATCCCACTTGCCCTACTAACGGCTTTTAGTGCGCTTCTGAGCAAAGCAAAGTCTTTCCTAAGTAGTCCAGGAAAGATTAATGGGGAGCAGTAAAGGGGGATGGGTAGCATAAAAGAATTTACAAACTGAGAAAGCAAAGACTGCTTTATGCCAGACTGCCTTAACTTCCTAATGTAGAACGTTAAGCGAAACATCTTTCTAGTAACTAGCAAGATATGGGTGGACCAGGAAAGATCGGAGGAAATACTTAGTCCAAGGTACTTGACATTAGATGTATTTTCAACCTGTATGCCGTCCATGATGCTGGGATCATGTGAGCCAACTAGTTGTTGTAGATCGCGTTTACGTCTGGAAGTGAAATTGACTGCCTGACATTTAGACGGGTTTAACTTAAGACCGTTTGATGAGGACCACTGACTAATTTCCGACAGAAAGTTATTTAATTTGAAACAATCTGACTGAGAGTTGACTGGCATAGAAACAGAGAGGTCATCAGAATACTTAACAAAAGTGGCTACGTCAGAATGAGGCAAGTCATGTGAGAAAAACGAAAACAGGAGGGGAGAAAGAACAACACCTTGAGGAACACCAACTAAAGTAAGTGAGGTAGTGGAGGACTTCCCATTGTAGACGGTGTACTGCTTCGTATCAGAAAAATAGGAATGCAACCACTTATTTGTCCAGCTCTCAGCCTGTGTTGCAGCAAGCTTACTTAGAAAGAGAGACCTATGTACAGAGTCAAATGCAGATATGTAATCAAGGAAGGCACAGCGAACGTATTTATCTCCTTTATCTAAACTAGAGACTATACTATGATGCAGGACAACAGCGGCATCTAACGTACACCTACTATGTTTATAAGCAAACTGGTTGAGGTCGTTGAAATGCTTTAAAGAGGGTTCAAGATTAGGTGAGATAAGTCTTTCCATAACTCTAAAAAAGATGAGGTAATAGCAATAGGTCTAAACTTAGCATTAGGTCCACTTGTTGGTGTAGGCACTGGGACGATCTTGATATTTTTCCATGATTCAGGTATAATACTTTTGGAAAACGATTCGTTGAAAATGTCAGTTAATGGGGAACTCTAACTCAGTAATGTAACTAAGTCTCCACTATGGCTTTACTCCTTGTAACGTACTTTTACTTCTGTCTTTTCATTATATCAATAATGTAGATAGATAATATTTATGAATAAAAAATTGTAGAACATGTTGTCAATATTATTATTATAAATATATTTTTCTGATTTTAATTCTTATTCATCAAAAGGAGATAAACGTCTTGAATTATTCTGCACTAAAACTGTTGGATTGGATACATTACGTGATATTGTGGAAGCACTTACACGTCCTTTGGATTTTGATGAACGGCAAGGTATGCAGTATATACATCTCATATATGTTCGCCATTTTTTGTAGAAATATTTTCAACTACTGATAAGTATATATAAGTAGGCAATATGTTTTCTCGTCAGGAATCAGCTCGTTGGTATTGATGCAACCTCTCAAATAAGTGAAGTGGTCAACACGCTCAACAATCAATTTTTGAGTCGGTGAAGTCAACAGTTAGGGGCAGTTCCATTAGTACACGTGTGGTGAAATTAAATAGAAGTTGGGGCAGTGGGCATCCCTGAGGGACACCACACTAGGAGTCACCACTTCAGATGACAACTCGTCATAAGCTCTTACCTGGCTGGCTGCATGAGTTCGGGTATAGTGCCTTGACCAGCGCAATGTATTTTCTCGGCATTCTCTTCACAGCTAAACGTCACCATAGTAATTCCCATTCGACAGAATCTAACGCCTCTTTCAGCTCAAGAAATATAATGATTATTGGTAGCCGACGGTGAGTTTGCCTATGTTCCAGAATCTGTCGAAGGATGGGTGAACATACTAACATAATACACCCTCTTCCTGGTCTAAAGCCTAACTGATTTTTTCTGGGGTGTGTATCCCTTGAGTACCACCTATACGACGCATTATTATTATTGGAGCCTAGGACTTTAGATCAAGGTAATTCCTCGGTGAGTGTTCACAGGATGACTTTTCTCCCTTCTTGTCAACTACATAATGTTTTTTTCCTTCACGTTCCCAGTGGAACATAGGGCCTCAAGCTAGTGGCTTGAAGTTTCTGTAGCAGTGTTGCTAGCCTCATGTCACCTAACCTTCCCTCTTTACCAGTCTTACTACTGGCTTAGCGAGGTAAGGTAAAGGAGTGCGTCGGTGACCGGGGATTGAACCTCTGTGCTACTGACGCACCAAACTACATAATGTGGGTGTAGGAATTTCTTCACCCAAATATCTTCAACCACCTAAGAGACCTTTATCTCTGTTTAACATTCGCAGATGTTTTCTTTCAGAACCTTTTTAGTGATTGTTCACTCACAAGCTGTTTAAATTTCGTTCTCTCAACTAATCGTACATGTTTGTGTTTGTTGTTTTCTTTCTTTCATGCACCTTTTATTTACAGATTGTTTCACACCATTATTTCACTCATCTGTCATGAAAATATCAGATCTACGCAAAGGTATGCTAGTCAGTGGTCGAATAGAAAATGTGACAACATTTGGTGCATTCTGTGATATCGGAGTGGAGGAGAATGCCTATATTCCACGACATGCATATCCTCGAGGTGGGAGTGGCGGCGGTGACATGGTGAAACCGTCCAAATTACTATCTACTGGTTGCGGTACTAGCGAAGCACAAACTATGTTCACTTTACGTTTAGGCGATCGAATTAAAGCCACAGTAGCTAGTGTGGATGCAAGGCATCATAGGATATCATTAGAAAAGGTGACTATTATGCGGAATAAGGAATGAATTAATGAATGCATGAACTGTGTTGTATAAAGCGTTGAATGATGTCCCTACTGTTTCGACAACTTATTCGTGTTATTGTATATTTCTTTTTTTTTCTATTTTTGTTAGAGCCTTTTTAACGCTATTTTTATTCAGAATCATTGGTATTTTTCTGTAAAAGAAAACAATGAACCTATTTTTGTATTGAAGAGATTTTGTTGTGAATTAATTGTTTGTTTGTTTTTAAGATGAAAAACACTAGCAGAAAAGTTACTGAGATGAGATTTTGAAGGGAATGGAATGTTCCTCCTCCTCCTCCTCTGCAGTTGTCTTTACGATTGCCCATTAGTCTTCCACCCCCGTGCGCCGATTTGTCGTTTTGCATTCGGATTCCAGTCGAAAATCTGCTTTGCGCTTGTCTCTTGATGTCATTCGAACAGTCTATCCACCGTGTGTGTATGTGTGTCGTATCCATCTGTCCATTCTCTTGGGCTGTACAGTAGGTTCGTTGCACGAGAGTTTCTTGTTGCTAAATGCTTTGTGACGACTGGTCATCACAACTTCAGTATGGATTCAACAAAGTAGGTATCTATTTAATTGGTCGATGGTGGTGACTAGCAGTGGAATCCAGCCTGATGCGCATTTCGTCCTATTTGGGACTCGTCTCTAAGCTGAATGTACATGCATTTCTCAGTGAGTGATGAGATGTGATGTCTGCACAAGAAGCAGACATGTCAACCTGAGACCGAGCACTTCGGTTTGATCAGTCGACGGGAAAATCGCAAATTCAATTAAATAATTAATATGACCCGTTACACAAGAGGTGGTTCTCGTTTCCCAAGTGTTCTAGTGGACAACGCTTTGGCTTTCGAAACTATGAACATTAGATTCGTGCCTCGGTGGGAACATCAACGCTCACTGAGAAATGCAGGTACATCCAGCTGAGAGACTAGTCTCAATTAGGACGAAATGCGCTTTATCCTTGATTCCACTGCAAGTCACCATCTACCAATTAAATACTAACCAAATGCCCAGATATCGTCGAAGCATCTGCACACGAAGCAGACATGTCAACCTGAGACCGGGTCAATCAATCGACGGGAAAATCTAAAATTCAATTAAATGTAGGTAGCTGTTGGTGAAAGTCTACAGTAACGCTATATGTATATACTACTAATTCACTGATATGAGTAGTTGTACTAGGCAGTAGTAGTGGTGGCTTGCTAACCAGAAATCACTAGGTGACCCAAATCACCTATGGATTGTCATTTTATTTGTTTAGCGTTCAGCATATCAGTGGTCTACACAATTTACCTCAGCTTATAGAGCTGAATCGATTCAAATCACTAGGAGTGGTATACTACCACTACTCATTTCGATTAATAATTAGTAGTATGTGACCAGCAAATAATAATAATTTTAAGCTAAAAATATGCGATAACCGCAGGGTTTATTCCCCCTTTTTTATTACTAAGAATTTGTAGTCAATGAGTTTTATAGCGTTACATACTAAAGGTTTGTTCAGGTTTATGATAGTGAACAACAACAAAAATAAAGAATAACAAAGTGAAAAAATAGGGCGAAACGAATGATGGTTTTCACTCCTATATAGGGTAATGTTGGGAATAGAAACTGAAGAAGTTAAATCCAAACGCCAAAGTACATAAAATATATATGTAGAAGAAAAGAGGAAGTATAATTGTTATAACTGTAGGGAACTAAATGAGGACGTTGTCGCCTTGTTCTGTCTGCGCCTGACTAATATGCCTATCTGCTTGTGGTACCTTCCGATTCAGTGAAGCACGCAAATATCAAAAGACAAAGACTGGACTGTGACTGTGTATTGTAGTACAACAACAACGACAAAGAAAGTCATGGTATTTATACATTTTACAACAATATAGACAGCCAACAGCATTTGAAATAATTGATCGTGATAGTCAATAACAAAGTGCGTGAGAAATGATAATATGCCATGTATGCGAGATTAACAGTCAATAACAAAATGTGTGGGAATGATGATATACCATGTATGCGAGATTAACAGTCAATACCAAAATGCGTGAGATCCTATCACCTCTCCCCGTAAAAAGTGTAGGACTTGCTTTTTGGATCTATTTGAAAAGGTTTCGGAGCTCTTCTTTGTCGAGTTGACCTTCGCATGGTACTGGATAGAGTGTGATCTGTGTCCCGGGCTTCCGGCTGCGGAAGATTAAATGTATCTACTAATACTTCTAACGTGAGGTCTCGTCTCCCATTGTCGGGTCTATCTGACGCATCTCGTATATGATTCGTGTATCTGACACATAACTGTCCTTCTACATTCACCTTGCATAAAACCCTTCCTTTCTGCCCCACTATTTGTCCTCGAATCCATCTCGGAGGTGAATAGCGGAAATCTCGTACATAAACTTGCTGATACAATTTGAAAACTCGACGTTTAGCTCCGTGATGGCGATTGAATTGGTTTTCCATTTTTGTATTTCTGCAGCCCTGCTTTACTTGCCTAGGCTTAATTGAGTCGAGGGCAGTTCTGATCTTCCGGCCAAATATAATTTCCGCTGGGGATAACTGATTTGGGGCGGAAGGATTTGGCGTCGTACGATAATGCAGCAAGAATCTATCCAAAATTTCTTCTGTTGTTCCCTCCCCCTTCGCTTTTGCATAAGCAAGCTTAAAGGTGTCGACGAAACGTTCAGCCTGTCCATTCGATTGGGGATGATACGGGGGGCTACGAATATGCTGGATGCCAGACAGTTTGCAGCAACCAAGTTTGTCCTGGAAGACAGAAGCGTGCTTTTGACGCAGGCGTTGCAAGAGAGATTGACCAGATAAATGTCCGGGAACAACGTTGTGTGGTGAGGACGAAACATTAGAGCATACTGAATTTAATGGTACATTGAAGATATGGAGCTTGTCTAACCAGTCAAGACCAAGCAAATTCAAATCATGGTAGTTTGTGACGTAACATACACCATTGAACTGATGCTCACCAAACTGAACCTGGCAATTTATCTCACCCACGAGTTTCAGTATATCTCCAGAGACATTCTTGGCGACATGCTCAGTTGGCAGAATCTGTGGGCACCAAGTTTGCGCCACGTAGTTCGGGAAATTAAGGTGATATCTGATGCCGTATCCAACTGAAGACGAATATGTTTGCCGTTAATACCTAGTGTAATGTACTTACGTTTGCTGGCGAAATCGACTTTGGAAGTTGTGAAAATGGTCTGTACTCGAGGAGATTGTTTCAGCTTGAAACGACTACTTCTGTTCCTCACCGAAGATTTTTCTGTGGTGGACAGTAACCCTCCTTATGTTCAAAACGGTGACAATTACGGCATTTATGTTTCTTGAAAGGACAGAACTTGACAAAATGCCACGAACCACAGTGCCAGCACACTGAAGGAGGTTTAGCTGAATTCTGAGACTGACGTGTTGTGTGCTTAACGGTGATCGGAGGACTTTTCACTGTGTTAATTGAACCAAATTCAGACGACTGTCGTTTGCACTCCACCATAGCAGTATCGTGCTTCAAGTTGATTAAGCGTAGGCATTCTGCTGTCACCATTTGTAAAGTCATTTTCGGATCTTGTTCCACGAGTGACAGAAGTCAGGTTCGTATGTCAGTATCTTCTGGGTTCTTCAACCCACAAATAAAAATCAAACACTTGAACTGATCTGATATCATTTCGTGTGGTTTGAACCTTTCACATTCCTTGTTCACTTTGCCAGCGTAAGTGACATAATCATCGGAAGGCATTTTTGTCCACTGAAAACATTGATACCGAATATTAAACATGGATGACTGTTCACCAAAGATTTGTGATAAAACGGTGACTGTCTCATCGAATGATAACTCACGTGGGTTCTTGGGCAGAATGAAGTTAACATATCTGTTGTGCTCAACAGTACCAAGTTTTCTTAGTAACAATCGGACTTTGGCAGCATCATCAAACATGTAGCATTCAATACGGAAAACGTCTTCGTAACGATTGAACCATGCATCAAATACGAGACCAGATATTGGGTCGTAGTTGAACTCACTGATGGAATTTGAGATGCTTTCATATTTGTCTGAATGAGATGTTGATGGAACTTGAATGGCCAGCTTCTGAGTGAGAGCTTCGATTAATTTTAGTTGAGCTGCTTCATTCTGAACTTGCTGCTGCTGCAAGATAGATTTGAGATCGTCCAGAGAGATAGACATTGTAATTGGGTTGTAATTAACACAGTCAAAAATGTTCTATAGCTGCGCTGAACAGAATAAAACCCGTCGTCGCTTGCTTGTTATAGCTGCAATGAATTAAGGTAAAACCCCGTCGCCAATTTGTTATAACTGTAGGGAATTGAATGAGGACGTTGTCGCCTTGTTCTGTCTGCGCCTGACTAATATGCCTATCTGCTTGTGGTACCTTCCGATTCAGTGAAGCACGCAAATATCAAAAGACAAAGACTGGACTGTGACTGTGTATTGTAGTACAACAACAACGACAAAGAAAGTCATGGTATTTATACATTTTACAACAATATAGACAGCTAACAGCATTTGAAATAATTGATCGTGATAGTCAATAACAAAGTGCGTGAGAAATGATAATATACCATGTATGCGAGATTAACAGTCAATAACAAAATGTGTGGGAATGATGATATACCATGTATGCGAGATTAACAGTCAATACCAAAATGCGTGAGATCCTATCACCTCTCCCCGTAAAAAGTGTAGGACTTGCTTTTTGGATCTATTTGAAAAGGTTTCGGAGCTCTTCTTTGTCGAGTTGACCTTCGCATGGTACTGGATAGAGTGTGATCTGTGTCCCGGGCTTCCGGCTGCGGAAGATTAAATGTATCTACTAATACTTCTAACGTGAGGTCTCGTCTCCCATTGTCGGGTCTATCTGACGCATCTCGTATATGATTCGTGTATCTGACACATAACTGTCCTTCTACATTCACCTTGCATAAAACCCTTCCTTTCTGCCCCACTATTTGTCCTCGAATCCATCTCGGAGGTGAATAGCGGAAATCTCGTACATAAACTTGCTGATACAATTTGAAAACTCGACGTTTAGCTCCGTGATGGCGATTGAATTGGTTTTCCATTTTTGTATTTCTGCAGCCCTGCTTTACTTGCCTAGGCTTAATTGAGTCGAGGGCAGTTCTGATCTTCCGGCCAAATATAATTTCCGCTGGGGATAACTGATTTGGGGCGGAAGGATT